GCTCAAGAACATCTGCTTTGTGTATTTCCCTAAGAATTGCTAAGAATTAAGGGGCTCACAGGCTGAGGCAGCAGTGCCTCAGAGCTGCCTGCTCTGTCGCACAGGTACAACAGCAGGTCAGCCTACTGCCGCTCCGTTGCCGTCATGTCCATGGTGGGCTACGTCCTGGGCCTGGGAGACCGCCACGGGGAGAACATCTTGTTTGATTCTTTCACTGGGGAGTGTGTGCACGTGGATTTCAATTGCCTTTTCAATAAGGTGAGAAATGCCACCTCTGTGTATTATAGGCATATAAGGTATAAATTTCTACTGTCTTGGAATTTTTTTTCCAAGTTTTTACGTTAACATATCCATTGTGTTCTTTGTCTCACTTGGTCTTGTATTTATATCCCAAAAAAGCCTGGGATATATAAAGAGGATGTGATTGTTCTGTGTACTGCATTCAATGAAAACCACCCAGTATCAGATGACCTGATGTGGATACACTGAAACAGCCCAAATTTTAGACTGTTTATATTTTGTGACTCTCCTGTCTCCACTATCACCCTCCAAACAAAACTGTAATTGCTACATTCAGAATTCTGCTGCTGTGGAGAATTTCTTGTTCTCTCTCACACAAATTCAGCACAAAAATTCCAACAGTTCTGTAAAATAAATACCAGAAATTGTGGTCAGATTGGGATTTGGAGTTTTGGTGTTCCAATTGAAAGATGTTTTTGGTGTGGGACATGTGGCCTTTTTAATTCTGATAAGTGAGGTAGAAATATTGATATTTCTTTTGGTTTCTTTTTAGTAAGTCTAAATTAACATAACATTGTCCTATATAACAATTTTTAAAAATCTTTTTTAAATGTTTTCTTAAATGTTTTAAGAAAAGTTAGCGTTTTGCAATGAGACTACAGAGCATAAATATATATTTAAGAACAAAATTTTATACCCTGTATTAGTGTGTTAAAACAGGGAAAAAGAGATTATTTGGACAATGTTATCTTTTACTCACTGTAATTTTCCCTTATCTGAGTAGGACTGTGAGCTGAGCAAATATCTCTTGCCAGCTTGGAAACTGCCACTGACAAAGGCAGAGGAAAAAACTTAAAGCCAGTGCAAATGTTACTCTTTAATAATGCTTAAAACACTAAGGGCATACCTTTTTTTCTCAATGTAAAGGGAGAAACTTTTGAAGTTCCGGAAATCGTTCCTTTCCGCCTCACTCACAACATGGTTAACGGGATGGGTCCCATGGGAACTGAAGGGCTCTTCCGAAGAGCCTGTGAAGTCACCCTGAGGCTGATGCGAGACCAGAGGGAGCCTCTGATGAGGTACGGCCACGGCTGCTGCTACCAACTCCTCCAAGCTGTCTGTAGTCTGAATGTGTGAAACACTAACTGCTGGGGAATGTGCCAGCTCCAGCATATGCCTGTCCTGCAGCTCACTCTTGTCACTGTGATATCTTATGAAAATCCTTTTGCTAGGATTTTCTCCTGAGAAGCCTCAGAAAAGGAATGTAAACAATAATATCTGATGGCTGTGGAATGTGGTCTGGAGATGGTTTACCAGCAGGTGCATCTTTGATTGGTCTCATGTGAATTGTTTTTACTTGCTGACCAATCATGGCCCAGCTGTGTCAAGGCTCTGAGCAGTCACGAGTTTTTATTATTCATTCCTTTCCTAGCCTTCTGATGTATTATTTTCTCTCTATAGTTTAGTATAGCACTTTTAATATAGTATAATATCATAATATAATAAATCAGCCTTCTAAGAAATATGGAATCAGATTCCTCTCTTCCCTTGTCCTGGGACCCACGAACACATCGACACACTCTCACCATGGCATGGAGCTAAATAAAAGCAGTATAAATATTCAGCACTAACTACAGGCTCCTGCCAGTGTTTGTGTTTTGAAAATTAAATGAATTTTATATATCATATCCTTTTCTAATTTTTTAATTTATTTAGTGTCTTAAAGACTTTTCTCCATGATCCTCTTGTTGAATGGAGTAAACCTGTTAAAGGGAATACAAAGGCCCAGGTGAATGAAACTGGAGAAGTTGTCAATGAAAAGGTGAGTTTAAAATAAACACAACCTAAGGTATTCAAATGTCAAATGTCCATTATTGTTGTTATGAATTACATATTTCCTAATTCAAACTTCAAATTTTCTTTTTTTCTTCCATTTAAAAATTTATCTGGTTGTTCTTGATTCATATTTTTTATCTATAAAGAGATTTTTTTAACTGATGAAAAATGTAATTTATCTGCTAAAGAACCAAACAAAAAAGCCTGTAATTCTCATGTTGGTGTTACTAAATCAAGGACAGTATCAGCAGAAGCAATGGGTCTTGTTACCCCTCACTTGCAGAGTCCTCCAGATTTACAGTGATGGTAACATCTGGAGTCCTTTCCATGTGTATTTTTATGCTTTTCCTGAGTGGATGTTTATTACTGAATAAATATGTGCCTTCGTACATATAAAGAATTATGTGATAAAAATTTCATACTGTTTCATTATTAGCTGCTGCTGAAGATTATTCATCCAAAGTATAGCTTAATTTTTATTATCTTCCCTTTGTGCAAAATTTCTGATTTGTCCCTTTCTATTTTTCGTTTGGTTTATTTTTTTTAATGAAAATAAATGTGTAATAGCAGAAATACTTAGGGAGCACTGACAAACACAACAGCTAAAATAAGGAAAAACTACATTATTGAAACTGTATGACAACAAAGAACTTACCTGGTCTATTTCAGCACAGAAAATCTCCTGGTCTTCAAACAGTTACTAACCAGGCTGTGTCTACATTCTTTTACAAGAATTTTATTTTACAAGACCACCCACATAATTGTATATGTTAACTGCTTTTTCTGGAGGAGTGCCAACATTATGCTTCAGCTTTAGAAGAAGATGTGTAATTGGTATGAACTAGCAACTCCAGTGGGCCTTGGAACAGCTCATTTTGAGATGCTCAAATTTTGACATAAATTTTCCAGACTTAAATTTTATTCAGAATTCCAGGAACATGGCTAGGAAAATGTTGCATTTATTTGAAATTAATTTTTTCCAATAAAGCATTCTAACAATTCTCAAATATATTTACATGGCTCTTTCAGTTTCCTTTGGTAACTTTTAACTGGAAAAATGTAAGGCAGAAATTATAGCTTGACCAATAATATATCCATTCTAGAGAATTGCTCTTAAAAGTGAGTAGCCTTTGTTTTCAATGTAGCTGGTATAGGCATCTGGATTTTGTATTAAATTATAATATGATTTCAAACACATCCTAAGAAGTACTGGTTTTATTTTGAGAAGTGGAAGTTCATTAATAGTACCAATTTTTTTTTTCTTCCTTCCAGGCCAAAACCCACGTCCTTGATATAGAACAACGGCTGCAAGGTGTCATTAAGACTAGAAACAGAATCAAAGGATTACCTTTGTCTATTGAAGGGCATGTTCACTACCTCATTCAAGAAGCAAGTGATGACAACCTGCTCTGCCAGATGTATATGGGCTGGGCTCCATATATGTGATACTTGTTCCCTTTGGAATGATGGCATGCACAAGTGCTCTAGCTATAATATCGTTGGGAAGGAATCAGTCAGTGGTACCTGGTTACTTCTGTTGATTTTTGGCCACAAGCAGAACAACAGGCTTATGGTCTTCCAAAATCTGTGTAAAATGTACAGTGCCCTTGCAAGGATGCTATGAATGCAGATGTGTAAGGTGCTAGGACTTACCTTTTGTACACACATAGAAGGCAGTACATAAGAACTGCTTAAAAAGTAGACTATGCAAGTCTCTGACTACATGAAAGATTTTCATGCTGTTGACAGATGCACTCTATAAAGTACTGTATATTTTTGTAAACATGTTTCTCATTTGGCTTAGATTAGAAAATAAAGCAATGAAGTTTAATACTGCTAGGATGTAAAGTGGTTATTTCAACTTTTGTACTCATATTCAGAAGGACTTTCTAAAAATTACTAGTATTTCTTCCCAGCAGTAGACTTTTCTACAACTTTCTTCCATGTTGCCTGGCTATCTCTAGGAAATCTTCTGGGATCTTAAATCTTAGCATGAGTAAACTGGTAAAGTGGTTCTATGTTCTGAACCTGTTTCCTTAGCCCTTGAGTGCAGTGCTCTAAAAAACCCTCCTGAAGGACACAGCACAAAGCTGGGAGCTGGAGGACCCTGGCAGTGTGGCTGTAAGGCAGCAGGCAGGTGGTGCAGCTGTGCCTGTAACATCTGTGTAGGCTCCTCAGAGCCTTCTGCATCCCCTCTTCCTCCCCTGGAAAAAGCACGGCTCAGGGGAGTGTTTTTCAGACTCCATTTCAGAAAAGGTGTTCAGCACAGACAAGAGTAGACTAAAATATGGTTGAAAGGCAAATGCTAACTTACATAAATGCTTGCTTTCTGGGCATCCAAATTACAGGGAAATGAGGGGTGGGGGGAAATAGCGAAAAATTATACCCTTTTAACTTACAGTAGGCTATCATTAGAATTTTTGTACAGTGGGTTTGTTTCTGCTATTCTGAGAGACAAAGAACGCTGTTAGGTTTTGAACACAGGCTCACGCGGTGGTGTGACATCGAGTGTTTCTTCTGTTCAGCTGAAATCCAGAGGTTTGGGAAAGTAAAATAATAGGTCTGCAGCTGTTTCTAGGGAGTTTGTTTCTCTGTCCATCTAGTGGGTAATTAGAAGTGTTGTCACTGTCCCATAAACGTGACGAGTTTTCCTAGTAAATTATTTGGAACATACAGTGATCTTTTCCGGTGTTGTGTTTGAGTGCTGACGTTCTGTTGTTTTTCCCAGGCTGTATCAGTTTATCGGAGCGCGGAGAGCCGCCCGGGGAGCTGTTGCAGCGGGCGTTGCCATGCGCGGGGAGCAGAGCTGCTGCCCGGGGCAGGGGCACGGGGCCCCGGGCTGGGGCAGGGCAGGGGGCAACGGGGCCCCGCGCGCCGGGGGCGGCGGAGAGGCGGCCCAGAGGTGGGAGCCGGCCCGGGCNCGCCCCGCTCCGCCGCCGCTCCGTGCCCGCTCGCTCTCGGCGGTGCGGGCGCTCGGCCGCTGTCAGCGCGGCGCGCCGGAAGGAGGGCGGAGCGCGGCCCGCGGTGTTTGGTTCCGGCGGGGCTGTGAAGGCGGCGGGGAGCTGTGGCCATGGGGGTCCCCAAGTTCTACCGGTGGATCTCGGAGAGGTACCCCTGCCTCAGCCAGGTGCTGAAGGAGCATCAGGTGAGCTGGGGGCGGAGCGGCGCTGCCTGACACGGGCCCGCCCCGGGGGGGTCCTGACCGGTCCCTCGGCGGGATGAGGGAGGGGGACGAGCGCGCGGGCCTCGTCCCCGGCCGGCCCTGCGGGACCGAGTCCCAGCCCAGGCCGGCTGGCCCACAGCCGGGGCGGCGCAGGGAGGCGGCTGCGGCTCAGCGGGGGCGGCCGAAAGTGGTGGGACGGCGGTGGGCGATCGCTGGGGAGCGGGCGAGGCGTTCGGTGCCCCCTGACAGCCCTCCTGTCCGGGCCGAGCCCGCCGCTGGCGGGCAGCAGTGCCCGGAGCCCGCGGCTGGGGCCGGCGATGGTTTCCGCAGTCCCGGAGCCACGGTGCCCTCCCTGTTCCCCCGGCGAGGGGCCGAAACGCGGCGGGTCCCGGCCCGTGCCGTGCCCGGCTGCCCCGCCGGGCTCTCTCCTCTCGCTCCGAGTCCCCTCGGCAGCTCCGCCGTGCTGCCTCAGCACCCGCGGGGAGCCCAAGGTCGGAGTTTACTCCTTGTTGGGCTCAGAAAAAGTTACAGCTGCTGAGGGCCAGTGGCGCGGTAATGACGAGGGACAGGTTTTACAGCTCTGCTGCGTTTCCTTGTTGTCGCCTGCGTCGGACAGTTTGTGTTAGCAGTTAAACCGGGAAGTGTGTTCAAGCCTGGAAAACGAAAGCCGTAAATCGTATTTCTAGCAGCTGGACAAAGACGTCATCTCTTCAGAGATGTCATGTTTGGTACCTGTTGGATACAAGCGCTTCTAATTATCATTTTCAGCTGGTGTCACAGATGTGGTTTTATAGATTGCGTAAGGATGTTCTGAGATAGGTGATAATGGAGAGTATGTTTGAATATCAATACGTTTTCCCTAAACACCTGTGATTTTTAAAGATTAAATAGTTGTTGTGTCAGTTGCCACAGGTGCCCAGCTCAAGTGATTCCCAGCCTGGATGTTTGGCCTTACCTGCTAGTTTTAAAGCAGTTTTCAAAGCTTAGGTCTTTGCTTATGATCTGTTGGCCTTCTCTGAAGTGTCTGTGTAGCAAGCAGCAGCAGTTTGTGCTGCCTTTTCTGCTGTTTCCTTAGAAGCCTGGGCTGCTCGCACATCTTTAAACTTGTGGCGAAGAACTGTGGCAAGCTGAGGAGGCAGCAGTGTCAGCTCTAACCAGGGGAAAGGCAGCAGGGCGTGCTACCCTTGATACCTTCTGAAAGAGGCAGTTAGAGCTCTTAAGATAAACAGTAAACATGACTTAACCCTTCCGGATCACTTGAACATACAAACTGACATATACTGGCATCTAGAGCATATGCTAAGAGTAAAAATTAAAAAAAAAAAAAAAAAAAAAAAAAAAAAAAAAAAAAAAAAAAAAAAAAAAAAAAAAAAAAAAAAACCAACAGAAAGAAACAAATTGAAAGGCCTATCTATGTAAAACAGCATTATTGTTAAATCATATTATAGCTGTGCTTCTTGAAGAAAATATAGGACCTTTTATGCATGTTGCTTCCATGTAAAAGCTTTAGGTTTTGTCTCTTTAAAATGCTGCCTGTGCACTGCCCTGCTCACTTATCTGAAAGCATTGAGAGCAGTTTGGTCTCTGAGTTTAACCATACTGAAGATCATGATGTGCACCAGAAGACTAGTGAGTGCACTAGTTGAGTGGCTGATCATTCCTGATCCTGCCTCTAATTTCTTAACCTCACCTTTTCCTCTTTTTAAGACAGATTTCTCTTGTATCTGGAGGATAAATGCAAGCCCAACATTTTAAGATGTGTCAGCAGCAGTGCTATAGAAACCTGTAACAAGTTGGCAGTGCCTTTTCCTAGATGTGATGATGGGGGGATTCTGTGAGCAGTCTTACTGGGGGATTAGGGAATAGGTTTGTTTCATGTCAGTTGCTCTTGTGGTGCATTTTGGTAACACTGAGGTAGTACGGGCCCCTTTGTCATACGTTTCCCAGTGTTTGTTCTCTATATGTTGCTTGTGTACATTTGGAAGGCTTTTTTTTTTCCTTTAAAAGAATGTGTGACTGCTATAGATAAGGCTGTTAGAAGAGCAGAGAACTAGAAGGAAAAAGAAAGTCTGTTTGGAAAGTCTGGGTAAGAAATTGATGTTATTATTGCCAACTCTCTGCTTTTGGTGCTAATTTCCACTTTCTAGACTCAAAGATACTCACAAGCATAGCTGAAGAGACAGCATGTAGTGGTTGGGGTAGGAGCTGCTGAACAGGAGGAAAGCTCTAAAGGTTCTTAAGCCAGATTTGCTTGGAAATATTGTTGGAAATTGCATACTTAGTTTTGTAGTTTTTATTGTTTGTAGTGCAGCTGTGAAAGGTTGAATCGATTAAATGTACAGGCTTACAAAAATGAAAAAAAAAATCTTCCTGGAAACAGTGGTTTTGGTTTGCCTTTCCATTTTACAATGTAGAAGATAGTCTGAGCAAAGGGACAAAAGTCCTGAGGTTCCAGAAACAGCCAAGATAAAGTAGGAATCTGTTCAGCTGACTTGGCTCACTGAGAAAAATCATAGTAACGGATTTCATGGGCAGGCAAACCTATACCCAGTGCAGAGATTCTTACTCAGCCTGTTGGTGTGCAGGAGCTTCCTCAGAGGTCTTCCCACCTCAGCTCATTTCCAGAGTGCTCTCAGGTGTGCCTTGGGCAGTGGCTGCATTCCCCAAGTGGTACTAACTGTGGTGTTTGTAGATTCCAGAATTTGACAACTTGTACCTGGACATGAATGGCATTATACATCAGTGCTCGCATCCAAACGATGACGATGTCCACTTCAGAATCTCAGAAGATAAGATTTTTGCCAATATTTTTCACTATTTGGAAGTGCTATTTCGCATTATTAAGCCAAGAAAGGTTTTCTTCATGGCGGTTGATGGAGTAGCTCCAAGAGCAAAAATGAATCAGCAGCGTGGGAGACGTTTTAGGTAAGAAGATTGGTTCTGACTCTGTCTTGAGGATAGTAAACACTTAAAAGAACCCACTTACTGAAATGTGTGCCATGCAAAGTAAAAGAGATGGCGAGTGCTTGTGCCTTTGACAGTAGTTTTAATTGAATGAGGGTAACTGCCTGTAAAATGTTAAAATCAGGATTCCAAAAGGAAAGTTTGCTTGTTACGTAAATTTTTTTCTGTGTATGTGGCACTTGGTGATATGAAATTTCTTACTAAATTTTCTGTGAAACAATTCTGCAGTGGAGCTCTTTCAAATGTTTCCAAATGCTTCATAATGACCTGTGAGAGTCTTTGGTATTTGTGAGTGCTAGTTCTAGATATGCCTATTTGGTAGCTGTAGTGGAAGTCATAGAAAAATCAAGTTTCTAGTGAAACTGCTCTCCTGTTGATACCAGTTACCAAGCTAGCTCAGATACAGAGCTACAAGTAGATTAAGAATTGCAGTAATGTTTTGGGAGATTTGGAAGCTTTTTTAAGATTGCTGTAAGGAAAAATAGGCAGTGGTCAGACAGTACTGGGACAGTGAATGAAATGCAGCATAAACAAGCTGCAGGAAGGGAACAAGAGAAAACATTTTCAAGCAAGTGGATATCTTTTTTTGTGATTTGCTTTTTGAAGTAATTTTTTTTAAGGAATAAAGGAGGTTGAGACAAAGTGAAGATTAAGACTTCTCAATAGAAAATTGTAGCAGAATTGAGGGCCAGACAAAAACCTAAGACTTTGGTGGTTACTTTATTTCTGGTTCAGAAATGTTTAGGAAATTCTTAGCCGAGAAAGTCTAGCATGGTGTTTGTTAATTTCTCCGTTACTGGGCATGGTAAATTGTTCTTTCATGACTCTTTTGGAATTCCACCTGCTGCTTTGTTTAATTATATTACAGTTATTGTTCTAGGGTAGCATTTTTAGATGTTTAGATAACAAATATTCCTGTTGTTTCAACATTAATAGCCATTCATTGTGATCAACCATTGTATGATTACCTTGGTAATCTAAATATTAACTGCATTTGAATAGTAACAGATTGTCACATTTCCATGAAAAAAGTGTTATTTTTAAGCCACCTTAGTTGTATCAGAAATAACTTGAAACTATTCAGGTATTCAATGTCTATCCTTTTTTATTTATTAAGCACTCTAAATATTCAACTATATTTATTTTGTCAAAAAGCTGTACTTAGGATATTAACATTTGAATAAGAATACATGTTCTCTACACTCTCTCCAATGCTGTTTTGTTTTAGATCAGCAAAAGAGGCAGAGGACAAAATAAAAAAGGCATTGGAAAAGGGAGAAACTCTCCCTACAGAAGCCAGATTTGACTCCAACTGTATTACACCAGGTAAGATAACTTGTTGGTTATTTAAATAAAAGCATTTATGGTTTGTCATCTGTATTTTGGTACTATTTTCCTATGTTTAGGCATGTTTTTTAAAAAATAGAAGACTGAATCAATAAAGGCTTTTAGGTAAGTTTGTACAAAAGTTTTAGTAATATTCAGTAGGGTTGGAATACTGTCTCAGTCTAAAAATTTTTTAGATTACTATGTAAAAAGTGAAATGTCTTAGGAAAGAAACCAGTCATCCCCTTCATCTCTGGCAGAAGTTTTGTTTGTTGGCATTTTTTTAATGTTTCTGATATGTAAATGCAAACTAGCGAACAACTTTAACTTAGGTTTCTGTTTTCAGGAACTGAATTCATGGCCAGATTGAATGAACATCTTAAATATTTTGTAAATATGAAGATTTCCACAGACAAATCCTGGCAAGGAATAACAGTCTACTTATCAGGCCATGAGGTCATTATATTTTCTTACTATCCTATTTTAAATATTTTTTTTTTTTTTGTACAGAGTAATACTTACTGCTGAATTTTTTTTGTGATTTTTTTTTTTTTTTTTTTTTTTTTTTTTGTGTCCAGACTCCGGGGGAAGGTGAGCATAAAATTATGGAGTTCATCAGATCAGAAAAAGCAAAGCCCCATCATGATCCAAACACAAGACACTGTCTCTATGGCTTAGATGCTGACTTGGTATGTGCAATTAAAATAATACAAACAACAGGGGTTTATCAAGTGTTTACATTTTTGATATCTTCCTAAGCTCATAGGGTTTTAAAATGGCTTGAAACAAGCATGTCATTTTATATTTCTGCAAACTTTTGAATTTGTAATGAAACCAAACATCAAAATTTCTTTATACTGCTTGAAAGGTTTAAAAAAATTTAAAAAGTAAGATCTTTCTGATATCTCTTTGTAATAGATAATGCTGGGATTAACAAGTCATGAGGCACACTTTGCGCTCTTAAGAGAAGAAGTCAGATTTGGTGGTAAAAAGGCTCAAAGGTGAATTGATTTAACTTTACTCTTATTTTATTTATGATGAAATTAAATCCAAAACATACTGGGTGACTAAAACAGGTGTGTGGTGATTTGGGTTTTCTTTTATTGATTGCATAGTAATTTAATGAAGTCTTAGTTTATTCTTTGGGTTAGAATAGTCATGAAATTAGAGAAATCATCATGCTGAATTATTCATTTGAATTGGTTTATATGAAAAAATGTATGCTGTCAGAACAGCTGATAAAAAAAATCCTTAAAACTTTGGTGTGTTTTACTTTTTCTTCATGTAATAATGGAGCAACCTGGGCTGTATTGACATTGTTTCCATTACTAAAATAAACTCTCTTGAAATGGTTGGATAAATGCTCTTATTCGGGGTTTGCCCAATTGAAATAACTTGTGGTCCATAAACAGTCAGAAGATGGTGACTTGTTCCAGAGCTGTGTGTGTACCTGTGGAGCTGTGCTGAAGTAATGCAGGAATAATTTATAACTGTTACTGGGGCTGGGATCCTTCTTTGGAGGACCTTAAGCATATATTGGGTATATAAAGGTAGAAGATGGGAGAGACACAAATAAACAATTCTGACACTGAAAGGATTTTGGATAACACAGGATTAATCATATGTGTTTAGATAAATGTGTAATTTTTGCTAATAAAGGGATATTTTATTGCCAAGGATAATATGATGAACATCAGAAATACGCTTTCTTTTCAGACTTTGCAGTCAACATTTCAGTAATACTCATGGGTAGTGTTGGCATGCAGTGCTGCAATATTTTTAAAGACCATACATCTAATAAAAGTAAACCCTTGGTTTTACCTTTCTAAAAAATAAAATAATGTTAAATAAGAGTGTGATTGCTTTTTGAAAGATTCATTAGTGAAATTATGAAATCAAAAGGCAAAGTGTTATTTATTTCCCTCCCCCCGCCCCCCAGCATTTTTCCATGTTGTAATTTCTGAATAATTTTGTTCATTATAGTTATATACATACACACTTACAGTTTGAAATTTGAAAATCCTAAAAATATGTACAAATTTGTATAGCATTTTTCCATGTTTTAATTTCTGAATAATTTTCTTCATTATAGTTATATACATACATACTTACTTACAGTTTGAAATTTGAAAATCCTAAAAATATGTACAAATTTGTATATCTCCACGATTTTTTTCATTGAGATAAATTGCTTATCTTGTCAGGATTTTCAAGTCCAGTGCAATGAAGAGTAAGGGCAGAATGTCTCTAGAGTTTTATAACATCAACCTGGTTGCCAAAGTTCTTTAATACCAATATGAAAATTGCATTTTAAAAATGGCCTAATTGATTCTGAAGCCCAATGTAGCTCAGAGTTTGTCTTACATGAGTTTATCTGAAGGCTGCTATCACACACATGTTCCTTTTGGGATCATTTCTGAAATTTCCTATTTATGTGTGAAGACACAAGTATTTATGCTGGTTTGTCATTAGAGGTGGTCTTAGCTAGTTATACTATCTACAAGGTGAAGTAGTCCTTTATTCATTTGAAGTACATAATTTAGGTCATTTATCTTTTGGTGTAGGTATTAATTGATTTGGGGCTAATGTTGGCTTAGGGTTTTTACAAGCGGTTTTAGCAAAGAGAAGGAAGGAAGGCATAATATGTGTTGCCTATGCCATAAACAGTAGGTTTGTTGTTCTTCTAGTGCTGCATTGAAGCCACGAAATAATACATACAGAGCATGTTTTCAAGTTGAGCATATTCATCTCTTACAGGAAACATTTCAAATGACTAGAAATGTAACCCAGCTGGTTTAGCTGGAAATCTGTGTACTCTGTTTTTATTCAGACTAGTTAGAAAATATCTTAAAATGGTGAGGCTTGGTGCTAAGTTAGGCTAGTTTGTCTTTGAGCAATGGGATAAGGATTTAGGAAATAGTTAACTGCAGCATGGAACTCCACACAGCTGTTCTCTAAGTTAGTTCTTCTCCATATAATCACATCTGGTGTTCAGAAGATGCTACTGCAAAATTTTATGGACCAAATCAGATTAATCCTAAAACAGATTCAAGGAAATGTTTATACATTATTTCTTCTACAAAGATAGAAACCTAGTAAAACTTCTTGTGTTTGGGTATCCTTGGACTTATTGATGTTAATGTTGAAAGTGTGTTTATAAATAATTAACTTGGTGGTTTGAATAATTTACAGAGTGTGTGCACCAGAGGAAACCACGTTTCATTTACTGCACTTATCACTGATGAGAGAATATATTGATTATGAATTTTCCCCAGTAAAAGTAAGTTCTAACGGAGCTGAGATGGGAAAAAATGTGTGAATTTGTGAAGTCTTTATGCAAAAATGACAACAAAAATTATACTCCTGAGTGTTGTTCCTTTATCATTTTTCTTTTTCCTCCAGGACAAGATTTCTTTTGAATATGATATTGAAAGGATAATAGATGATTGGATCTTAATGGGTTTCCTTGTAGGAAATGATTTTATACCTCATCTACCTCATTTACACATTAATCATGATGCACTGCCGCTACTTTATAGAACATACATGGCTATCTTGCCAGAACTGGGAGGTGAGAAAACTAAGTCCAGTTGTGCAAAGTAGAAGCATTAACATTGATGTATTGGTATTTATTGACTTGTTTTTCACATTAGAATGTTTAGCATTTACTACACTTTCCTCAGAGAGGCAGCAAGATTGCATTTTATTACCTGTGCATTATTTAAATGCAAGTCTTAAAATTGTTGAATTGTTACTTCAAAAGCATACTTAATTTTTTCAACAGGTTACATCAATGAAAATGGGCATCTGAATTTAGAACGTTTTGAGAAATATCTTACCAGGTTGTCAGATGTAAGTAACTTTGAAATTTTTAGAACGTTGAATTTAAACCCGGTATGGTACCCTAAAATACACCATACTGTAGTTTTAATGAACTGTTAAATGGCTGTGTCTTACAGGTGGTTTAATCAGCTGTTATAGCATTGAACAGATGGAATCCAATCAGTTATTGTCTGATCTTATAGCATAAGAGGAAAAAGATTGAATCATTTGATCTGTGCTTTAGCCAGCACAGTGCTTTTAATACTGCAAGTCAAATGAGGATTCACCTACAGAATCATAGTACTCACTTCCCATCAGTGTGGCAGTGTCAGGCAAAGCTGGTTAGAGCAGGTGCCAGTAGTGCCAGGGATGAGGGTTCAGTCCCTCTAGAACAGGTGCCAGTAAAGCCAGGGATGTGGGTTCAGTCCCTCTAGGGCTGTTCACATTACAGTGGGACTCAATGATCCTTGTGGGTCTCTTCCAGCCCAGAATTGTCTGTGATTTCTGTGTATTCTTAAAGCTTGCTGCATGCAGCGATGTTCTTTGTTTCCCCTGCTGGTAGTTTCCTGTGGAGAAAGCTGTCTGAACATTTTGGCGGGGGAGAATTGTTTCCAAGATTTTTATGAAAATCACTAGTGAACATCAAGGAGCATCTCTGAGAGGCAGGCATCAGTGTTGTTCATGAACTAACTAGTGTACAGAAGGTAATCTTATTTAGTGCTAGTGCAGTAATCCATCCTGGAGAAGAGGTAGGGTATAGGCCATATAGAAATGGAAAGGATTAAACTTTCTGATGAACCTGGAAAGAGGGAGGTCGTCTGTTGTCCCTGCCTCAGCCTTATTTTTCTGGTTCTTGGACAGAGCTATGAAAGTGTTAGATCTGTGGTGCAAGGCTGTATCAACCAGACCTTACATGTGTACTGCTCATAGAGTTGATAGTGAAGTGTAGCAGTTATTTAATTCTTTTTTGTTACATCTTGCTGCCTTACTGAAAGAAAACAAAATATGGCTCGGCTGTATGTTACAAATTGTAGTGAAATAGGACTTTTAGTATTCATCTGTTTAGTTTTATCTCTAGGGCAAAATGTTTCTGTTCAGATTACTCTAGATGTAATCTAATGCACATATTAAAATGTTGTTAATTTGGCATAATGTTAATATTGTTAATCTGGCATTCTAAATTTGACATCCCTCAAATATTTGCAAACTTACTGTAATCTCACAGTTTGATCGTGAGCACTTCAGTGAAGTCTTTGTTGACCTAAAATGGTTTGAAAGTAAAGTGGGCAATAAATACCTCAACGAAGCAGCTGGGATTGCAGCAGAGGAAGCCAGAAAAAATAAACAAAAGAAACAAAAGGTCAGTGTTTTATATGCACAATTTCGCTAATAAGAGTGTTATGTTTTGCAAATCAGTAATTTAATCTTATACAAATTAAGTGGAATAAATCTCTGTTTTGAGATTTTTTTTTTCATCCAGAAAAGATAGTAGATTGTAATAGTTTGCATTCTGCCTGTATGCACTGATGCACTGCTGGTTGTGAGTGATGAAATGGTTCAGTCAGGGGCAGGTGCTCCTGATTTTTAGTCTCATGAACCTGTATTTAATGCTTTGCTGTTCTTCAAAAACAGCAGAACTTAACTTCTGTGTGTGTTATGATCAAACCTGCTATGCTTCATAATCTTAATTTTTAATGCATAGTCTGCTGCAAGTTCCATATATTTCAGATACACTGATAGAACATTGATGTATGTCTTGGTATTGGCTAACTACTGGACAGCAAATAGGGAACAAGCAATTTCATTGGTGAGCTATCTCAGATCAGTATTAAACTTGCAGTTCAAGGTATAACCAATTAATAAGAAACAGCACCTTGTATATGTGTGTACTACTACGTAACAGTGTCCTGTCTCTGCCCCAGTGTCAAGTTCCCCACCACCTCTTCCACTCACTGCCCTTCACTATATGCTTCAGCAGTGTAGAGTCGCAGGAGAAAATTCCTCTGCATTTAATCTTTGTATATTGTTACCCTGTTCTTTGTGTACAGAGCAATTTTGGAAAGAGTAGCGTTTTGGAACACAAATATTCAGGTATTTTTTGAGAAGTAGTTAAGATTTTGACACTGCTCCTTTTGTCTGATCTGTCCTTTTTGTCTGATTAAATAATCTTCTTGAAGCAATTGTAAGAGAAGGAAATGGGGTTTATAATAAATAATATTTATGCATTTGATTGTAGCATTTTGAGTTGCAAGTTTTGAATGGTGTTCATGCACATTAAGCTGTATTTTCACATTATCTCAAATCTTAATTTAATAGGCTCAGGAAAATTCTATATCTTTGGCTGCTTTAGAAAAAAATGAAGGTGAAGTGACCCCTAAAAGTAAGTGCAAATAATTTTTCCATACATATATAACAAAAAATGTGTGTATAGATTTCAAAGAACTGTAAGAATTGCATGTCGGAGATGAGCTTAATCTGAATGCAAGACATGCAGTCATCTGTTGGGAAGTGGAACTGCTCTAGTGAGAGAGAGTGGGGCTAAAGCTTTAGAGGTTCTTCTTCCCTGCCCTGTATTTCCATGGTGAACTAAAGGAATTAATGAACAAATCTTCAATAATATTATGGTTTTGATAATTGTTTCCATAGGTATTTTCTTAGATAGGGGGACAAGGGAACAGATTTTTGTATAGCTTTAGGATTTTTGGTTGTGGTTGGTTTTTAACTCATTCTACTTGTAGGAAATATTTCTTGCTCATGTTTTGAAATTAATTATCAAAAGTGTATGAATGTTACTATGTGATATTAGATGATGTTGCTAAACATAATTAAATTTTAAAATTAATTTTAATATATTCTCAGACTTCTTTTTGATGGCTTATGTTATCTTCTCTTTTCTTGTGATTGGGCTAAAAATGGGTTGCCTGTCTTAAAAAATTTCAAAACTTCTCTGGGTAAAGATTTTGTTTGATTGTTTCATGTTACTTTCAGTGCAAGGAGCGTGTGAGTACCTATAGCTTTGAATTGAGGAGTAAAATTAAGGCTGTATGTCAGAAGTGAATGTTTTCAAACCGTACTGTAGTAGAGAAGTGAATGTTAATCCTTCTTTTTCATGACTGGTTTTCCAGCCACATTGGAAGATGAACCAGAAGATGATGATCTGTTTGAAACTGAGTTTAGGCAATACAAAAGAACTTACTACATGACAAAAATGGGTGTAGAAGTAGTGTCTGAGTAAGTATATTTTTCTTTTTTTATTCCTAAATGCTGAAGACAAGTCTTTGTACATACATATTCAAGACATACATTTGTATATATGCATTAGAGATGTTTTTCAGTAGTGCATAGTGATGGGGCAAGGCATAGTGGCTTCAAACTGAAAGGGGGTAGGTTTACTTTACGTATTAAGGAAGAAATTCTTTACTGTGAGGGTGGCAAGGCACTGGAGCAGGTTCCCCAGAGGAGTTGTGGATGTCCCATCCCTGAAAGTGTTCGAGGCCAGGGCTTGGATGGGGCTTTGAGCAGTCCAGTCTATGGAAGGTGTCCCTGCTCGTGGGAGGGGGTTGGAACAAGATGATCTGTAAGGTCCCTTCCAGCCCTCAACATTTTGTGATTCTAGTAAAAGACAGAATATTCATCCCATGTCAAAAGCAGAGAACACATGGCAGAGTACTGCAGTGGTGGTGATTTTGCCTGGTGCAACAAGAGCTGTGAATCAAGTTTTCTGTAATAAGTATTTGAGGACCAGAGGGAAAATGAATCTAGAAAATCATGGTATTGTTAGATTCCCAAAATGTTCTATCTTCATCCCTATGTACAAGGTGCTAAGTACTTTTATATACCAGTGAAAATGAGAAAACTAATAAACATCTTTCCTTTTTCTTTCAAGTGCCTTCTTAGCTGATCAAGCTGAATGTTATGTCCAGGCAATACAATGGATTTTGCATTATTACTACCATGGAGTTCAATCATGGAGCTGGTAAGAAAAAACATTAAATGGGAGACTGCTGAAAGATAGAGTGGTATTTCATTTTCTGTGCTGGGAACATTTAATGTAGTTTGGTTTGTTTCTGGTCTGTAAACACTGCTGTGCTCTAATTAAGTCATGTCACTTAAGGGATTTTTTTAACCTGCAGGTATTACCCTTATCATTACGCGCCTTACCTGTCAGATATTCACAACATCAGTGAACTCAAAATCAAGTTTGAACTTGGAAAACCTTTTATGCCGTTTGAACAGCTTCTTGCTGTACTTCCAGCAGCTAGCAAAGATCTGCTACCTAAATGTTACCAGGTAAGATACAGAATTAAATTGCATTATCTATCTACTGCTTACTCATTGTCTGCTTTATTTTATTTTACTCTATTCTGGGTGGTTTTGCATGTCTTGTTAGTTAAATTCTGTCTCTACATTTTAGATGTATGGTTAAATATTCTACTTGTTACTATATGTGCATTGTAAAGTTAGTAATAAATACAAAATTTTGCATTTGCTGAGCAGTTTTCAGCTAGGACAATTAAATGTTTCATTCCTGTACAGCATTGAATTGGTTTTAATACCAGCCTTCCTTTGTCACTTCCTACAATTAGGGCTGAATTGCCTTTGATATCATCTCTATTGTATTTTCCTAGCATTTGATGACTAGTCAAGACTCTCCTATTATAGAATATTATCCACCTGATTTTAAAACTGACCTAAATGGTAAACAGCAGGAATGGGAAGCTGTAGTATTAATCCCGTTTATTGATGAGGTAAGTTCTTTCAGCATCTGCTGTCCATAAAAGCTGCATTACAAAACTTCTGAATTTCTTAATTTATCAGCAGTTAGACATGCAATTTAGTGGAAGTTTAAATTAACACTTAATAACACCACAGAAAAAATATACTGTTTGCTGCTTGGGGAGTAAGTCTAGATTAAGTTACCACAAGCACAGTTAGTTTTAGGTGGCAGAAGTCCTAAGTAATGGCTGTGGACTTTGTGTTGTTCATGTTTTTAATCAGCTATTCAAATATTTTGGTTCAGTTTCTTTGAGAAAAATATTCTGTTCCTGTGTACATATAAAAATAGAGAACATCTATAGGAAAAATAAAATAAACACTTGAAAAAGAAGAAGGAAGTATTTTTTCAGTAAATCCTTCACATGAACACCAGTAATAGGGAAGCATTAATTGAGAGCAATAAAATAGTACTTTGCTTTTGCATATGGGACAACAGTGTTAGACAAGGCTACCCTTTGGAAATAGGCTTGCAGAAAAGTTATTATTCTCCAAAGCCATGGTAATTGTTCAGAGAGCATTTTGATCAGGGACAGGAGAAAGGGTGAGGCTGCAGCTGGATACTGAGCACGTTTGGGTATCTGGATTTCTTGGGTTACTTTCCCAGTGTGGTTTTTTCCATGCTAATTTTTGTTGCCAGTTTCACATGTGCTAATTCCTCTAAAATTTAGAAACGACTGCTGCAGGCCATGGAATCCTGTAATAAGGGCCTAAAAGAAGAGGAGAAACAAAGAAACACTCACAGTGCTTGCTTGATGTACTGGTATGACAAAGATGCTGAGTTCCAGTATTTGTCACCATGGCCAGAGAAATTCCCTGCCATAGAACGATGTCACACAAGGTAATGTTGGCATAACTATTTTAGAGCAGGCTAAAAGTAGTTGGAGCATTTTTACTAACACTTTAACCAAACCTTGCCTATGACAATGTGTAAACTGAGAAATGAAAAATACTGAATTAGATGTTGCCTGCTCTGGATGGCACAGTAAAAGTATTTGTCCCTTCAGATTTTACTTTGCAAAACAGATGAACCAGTGCTAAGTTGTCAAGAGCAATCCAGAGAATAATTAAACTTTTTATGACAGAGGGTGAAAGACTGGTACAAATATCTGATAGTGATCATTTACTGGCATGCTAATTTCAGAGTGATTTTTATAAATGTAGGCATTTGAATCCAGTGTAGAGAATAAAACACAAATTTGTTTTCCACCTTCTTCTCACTGGGAGTAGCTAGCTTTATTTCACACGAACTGAAGATGAAATGGAAACATAAGCTTAAGAGTAGTCAAACTTAAAGCAAAGTAGCAGAGGAATGCCTGTTGCTGGATTGCAGTCGGTAAAGAATGGACAGTTGTGAAGATGAATGATACCATATGGAAACATTGCTAGTTAGAATTCAGTAATTACAATTATTTAAGAGTGAGTTTGGCATATATCCTGAAGTTTTTTCTTTTTCCTAATGAATAGTCTCTCTGGAGCAATAGCACGGGGGTTTTGTAGTCCTTTCTATATATTCCAAGTGACATAAATTAGTTACTGAAAAGCAAAGGGTTTGGCAATTAATGAGTGAATGAGTAATGATTTTTTCTAGAGGTGAAGGTCAATCTGCATGAGCAAATGTTGTGCCACTTCTTTTCTAGGTATAAAACAATACCTTTGAATGCTTGGCATGTAGAAATAACCCACAATAAGATAACAAAAATCAACAAGAATGCATTGTATTTTTGTGGATTTCCTACTTTAAAGCACATTAAACATAAGGTAAAAGATTTTTCTCTTCCAACATTTCAATTGTATGTAGTAGATCACTATGTAAGAGCTCAAGTTTTATGTGCTGTTTTGTTTTTACCTAGTTCTATCTTAAAAAAAGTGGTGTACAAGTGTTTCAGCAAAGCAGCCATGGAGAAAACATGATGTTGGAAATCATAGTTGATGAGAGCTCAAAAGACCAGGTAAGCATTCAGCTCCTAACAAAAGACCAAAATCGAACAAAAAAAAAAAACCCCACAGCTGGACAAAAGACTTGTTAAGAAGTCTGAATTTGTTAAATGGTCAGATTTGAGGAGTTCAAATGCTAAATTTGTGGGAAAAGAGTGTAGAATTTTGGGTATCAGCTTAAATAATTTATCGTTTTCCAGACTTCACAATAGGAAGGATCAGAGTCCTTGGTTGAGTTTCTGGCTTTTCTCTGTGGTAGCATTTATATGTTCTTGGATAAGGATCTGGTGCCTAATGAATGGTATAAATGCAGGGGAAAAGTCTCCAGACCAGTGGTGTTTGTCTTTTGTCTAACTGAAGGGATGACCACTTAAAAAGAAAAAGTGTTTCCTTTTAATCAACAAAGCAGACTTAATGCCTTCCACTCTAACGGGGCTGTTTGATAGAGAAGTTAGAGAGGAGAGTCAAAGCATCAAATGACAAGTGCAGAACAGAAAAAAATTCAGAAATAAATAAGGGAGAGAGGAGGAAAACAATAAGATGTGATTTTACAGTAGAGGGATAAGGAGAGTACATATTGAAGATATATGGCAAGAAAAATCAAATAAGCCAAATTAATATATTAAAAAAATAGCAGAGACTCATTGGAACAAAAGAACATAATGTGAGACTGAATTTACAGATGCTAGGAAGTTGTGGACATAAAAGTTGTTCCTTTTCTTCAATGTGATACGTAAGTAAAATATATCATACAAAATACTTTGGTAATCTCAAATGATCGTTTTGTTTATTGTGTCCCAGAGACACAAATAGTTCTAAGTGATTTAATAGAAGAAGTACTTAGCAAACCTATATGAGACATACAAATTATCCCAGGTCTTCCAAGTAACACATGCAACATGTAAAGAGCCACATTTTTAATCAGGGTTTATGTAATCTGTATCAAATATATTTTAGCAAGATAAAATTAGTTTCTTACTCTGCAAGAAAATCTATTTTTAAGCTACTGTAGTTTTTATTGCAAAAACAGCTTGAAAATACTGTAACAAAAATCTTTTAGTATGTTAAACAATTAGTAATAATACTTCTGGGGTTTTTTTCAGATGGTAGAAAATGTTGCCAGTTCAGTACTTGGAAAGCGAGTTTTTGTTAACTGGCCCCACCTTGAAGAAGCCAGAGTTGTTGCAGTGTCAGATGGAGAAACTAAGTAAGAGTTACTTGATATGTAGTTCTTTGTTGTCTTTTGGGTTTTTTTAAGTTAAGTTCCTTGGGCTGCACTGAAATTTTGATTTTATTGTTAAACTAACAACCAATTAGTTCAGATGTAACAAAGCAGCTTGGTGAAGAATGTTTAAAATTGTTCTGAGGTTTGGTTGCCTCTGTGGCAGTCTAGTCTTTCACTGTTTGTTATAGATGTAGAAGCTTGGGAGAGCTCCTTCTTAGTTTTGAAGGGGAAAAAAGCATGCACAGAAGTCTACACTGAGCATTTCTATACAATCCTCCTTTATGAATAGCATATGTACTGGTATTTTTTATTGAAAACATGCTGTGTGGCCCATTGTGGACGGGATAGAGAAAACAATGCTGCAAGTCTTCCACATGCTTAACAAGTAATTTTTAACTATTTTCAGTTTTGTTTACAATTGGTTATGTCTAGGTTAATCTTATTTGGTTAAATTTCCTATCTGTCATAATATTCTTAAGGTTTTATTTGGAAGAACCACATGGCACACAGAAGCTTTACATGGGAAATGCAGTACCCCCAACTAAAGTGGCTTATGTTGGAGATAAGGAGCAAAGCATGTGGGTAAAAGAAGTTCAAGGCATTTCAGAGCAGTAAGTAACTTCAAAAATTAAAGTGTAGCTTTGCATTTTATGTCTTGGCTGTGTTGTGTACCTGTATTACAGACCTAAGTAGCACAGAAGAGCTGCTGCATACTTGATGATAAAGGTTAATCAAGTCTGCTTAAATTTAAAACAACATAAAAGAGCTTATGTTGAAATTTCAGAGTGTATGGAGTCTGTTCTGAGGTAACTAAAGTTAGATGCTGTTACAAAAGAACTCTAAATTAAATTATTTTCAGTATTTATTCTCCCTCTCAGTTTTCTGTTCTGATGTTAGCAATCTTCATTTGTAGAAAGTATGTAGAAGGAAGTAATACAGAATCAACTTGCACCTCAGATAGCTTAGCTTTGTTAAATTTGAGTACAGCTCTTGCCCTTCCAGGGTGTGGGTGCTCAGTAGACTATAAATGAGTTACAGTAGTTTTGATGCCTTTTGCTGATCCTAAAATCATGAGCCAGAGGCAGTTATGTGATAAAAGGGGTTACCTTTCTAAAGATCCTTGGGTGCACAGCACACTAGATGGAAGGCACCTGAAGATGCACGTGGAACATAAAGCACACACAATTTTTATGTGTTTAGCCAATTAGCATAACTGACAAGAATTCTCAATTAGAGATATTAGTGATGAGGTAATTCCCCCTTGGTTCAACCCTTTCTGAATTCTTCCCCCCCACCCCCTCTTAGACAGGAACTAAACTTTGTTTATGAAAATGTGTCTTGGACCTTGATTTTCAACCTTGGCTTCCCAGAGAATCTAACCTTGGACCTCCAGCTTGGAGCTGCCAAGGAATTTATTTTGTCTGTCTAACAGAGTAGGTAAAATGCTAGCTGTGAATACTGTCATAGGCTAGAGAGCTACAAATGGATATGTAAAGATTGTAGAGAATATATAAAAGCAAAAAGGCAAAAATCAATCTGGCACCAGTTTGGCATTTCATTATCTGTCATTTGAGTCAACTGATTTAATTTCCCTAACCCTTCCACTGTAAAGATTAAATGTGCTTAAATTAATACTCTGAGCTCTGTAGTGATGGCTGTGCAACAGCAGGTAAACAGCTGGTTAAGCCATTTATTCTGGGTAACTTGTGTAAAATAAGAAGAAAACTATTAGAATCCTATTTTAAAGAGGGTTTTTTATTTTATTTAATTTTACTTCAATAAATTAATTCTACATTCTTAGTTTAGTTCTGTTTATTGTAATCACACTAAATGTTCTGCTTTGTGTTCAGGTACCAGAGAAGGAAAGGAATAATTATCCATGAAACATCAGTAGTTGTATATGCTCAGTTACTCACTGGTAATAGATATCAACTAAACCAAAATGGAGAAGTTTATTTGGAGAAGCAGTGGTCTAAACAAGTTCTTCCTTTTGTTTACCAAACAGTTGTCAAGGTAAATATACAGTTCAGTATCTTCTCTGAATTATTTCAGACTCAGACTGTGTTTTAAACTGAGTGTCTATTTATGTAAACTTTGTAATTATTCTACTGGAACTGAATGATATTTAAGATTACCACTGTTGTCTCTTTCATGTAGGATATCAAAGCCTTTGACTCTAGTTTTTCAAGCATCAAAACTTTGGATGATTTGTTTCCTCCTGGAAGTACAGCCTTCATGCTGGGATCTCCTTACTATGGCTGCATGGGAGAAGTTAGTTCCAGTAATTTCCTAATTTTTCCCTGTAGATTTTTTCTTTTTGTAAATGTAAAATAATCTAAGATGTTGTGTGACAGTAGTGGCCATTTGCTAGCTGAAGTTTTTAATCTAGGGTTCCCTGGTGGTTTAGTCTGAGATAGAGTGGGATCTTCTATTTTCCATGTTCTTCTTGCTTATGTAAGAGGAAAAAGCAGAACTTGAATGCAGGATTATTTTTATTAGTTCTTTGGGACAATACATCAAGTTCCTACTTGTGTTATTTTCAGTCATGAAATCCTTTAGTTTATTGCTGACTGATTGGCTCTATGAGGAAGCAAGGTACAGGTCAAGGCAAGGTGAGGAATCCCAAACCATCCCTGTGCCTACTGCAGCAAAATTGTTGATGAAATAGAACATGAGGTGTGTTATTCCAAGACTGCTGGTTTTAAATAGCCCTTTTGTAGCACTTGTAACCTATTGTGTTTCTCTCCAAGGTTCACGATTCACATGATGTGATCCCAGAAGGCAGAATCCGGGTGGTTTTTAATATTCCGTGTGAACCCCAGCTTGATACTTTAATACAGAACCAGCATGTGAGTGCTTCTGCTTTTCTAGTAAAAGCTTAAACAATGTATCAAGTAGATTTTGCAATGGTAAATGTCTTTCAGGGATGTTTCCATATAATTCATTTACCATTTGTGTAAAAAATCCTTTAGACATTGCCAATATGTTTTGTTTGTTTGTTTTAAAGAAATATTCTGTGAAATACAATCCTGCATATATTTTGGCCAGCCGTCTTGGAGTAAGTGGATATCTTGTCTCCAGATTTACAGGGAGTATCTTTATTGGAAGAGGATCAAAGAAGAAGTAAGTTCTGTTTATAAATTTTGACTGTAGAGAAGCTTCTAAATTCTGCGATAACTCTACAGAATTTTTGCTGTGTTTAAGTGCTTTTTTTAAAAGTGCTTTTTTTAATCAAGTGCACACTCTTGTGATTTGCAGTGCTTTTTTTCTATTAGAAGCAAGTTTTAAATTTTTGTTTACTGGACAAAGCTTTCTTTAAAGTATATTTGCTGTAAACTAAGTTGATATGCAGTGCTTTTTTTCTATCAGAAGCAAGTTTTAAATTTTTGTTTACTGGACAGTTCTATTTGCTTTCATATTGTAGACTGACATAAAACTTACTTTCCTGGTTAGCTATTTGCAAAATTGAATTAGGAGTTTAAACTGACTTTGCCATACTGAGAATAAAAAAGTGGAATCAGGATCTAATTTCATTGTACTTATTACTGCTACTATAAAGGGAGATTCATTTTACTTGTAGCTTCTTTTCAGAGCTAGTTAAGACTGCTTAAAATACATAAGGGAGGCAATTAATGCAGTCCTGTGAATGTCAAAATTGTGGTTCCTCTTTAAAGATATGGTTGATGGATGCCTGAGCATCTTCTTGTGATCTGGTGCGCACATTTCTTCCTGATGGATTGTTCAAGGACATCCTTCTGCACCTTGGGAAAAGCCAGGTTGATTGTGGTTGATTAGATCTCAATTAAGGAAGAAATACAGAATATTTCCTACCCTCCTTTGCAATGAAGTATAGGCACATGGGTGGACAGCTAGCATAGCACAGCTCTTGGTCTGTGACATTTACAGCTGACACAATGTTAACACGTAAACAATACAATGAATTTAATTTTTCTGTGGTTTAAGGCCATGAGTGTATGTTTATGAGGGTTTTTTTAATGTATGTAAACAAACACACATATTGTAACTTAATGACTTTTTCTTATTTCCAGTCCTCATGGTGATCACAAAGCAAATGTGGGGCTAAACTTGAAGTTCAATAAGAAAAATGAAGAAGTTCCTGGCTATACTAAGAAAGTTGGAAATGAATGGATGTATTCTTCTGCAGTAGAACAACTACTTGCTGAGTATTTAGAAAGGTAAATGATTGGATATGACCTTCATCCAAATTACCCACCTTTGTGTCAATTGTTGGGATTTGTCCTCTGGTCACAGATCTTCTAAGAACAATGAGTTTGTTTCTTTTATTCCAGTGTTCTATTTTGGGATAGAGTAATTGGGTTAGCAGCTTGCCTTTGGAAAATTAGCAGTATGATACTAAATTAAGTAAAAAATAACCCATCTGGGCTTCACAATTTTTGAAGCCTAGCAGCAGACTTTATTTTGATGGGGCTTTTTTGTGCTCTATGCTGATGTGAAACTAAAGTTATCTTACATATATTTGGGGGTTTTTAGGGTGCCTGAACTATTTAATTATGTAGCCAAGAACAGCCAGGAAGATATCTGCTACGAAGATGACATTTGGCCTGGAGAGGATGAGAACGGGTAAGCCATGGTCCTTACCTCTTTTCTACAATAATGAGAATAAAGACTGACAGTTGTGAAATTGGTAATGATCGTGCGGTGGCTGCTGTGGAACTGAAACCTTGCTGTTCCTCCAGCAGCCTGATTGTTCAGTGATGGCTGCAAACATCATTTGAATGCTGTACTTTTCAGTCATGGAGTGCTAGTTTCTGCTAGACTTCAAGTCCAGTAAATGAGAAATACAATTTTCAGTGGTTATTTAATAATTTCTTGCTTTTAAAATAGCCTACAGTAAGAATAGCTATGACTAGTCATTTTTTTTTTTTTTAAATAACCAACAGTTGTGGTAATTGTCTGAAATCACTTAGAATTTGAAAAATAAATCCTACAGAGTTGGAAGTATTTTGCACATTTTTAGTATACATTTATGTGGGAGAAAAATAGCAACCTTGGTTCCAGACACAAAATGGTAATTTGTAAAAGCTTTAGTTGTTAGACAATGAACCCAATCCAGGGGCTTCAGTCAGTAAGTCTACAGGACTCTTACCTTGTGGTACACTGGTGTGGGACTCCTCTTGTAGAGGAATCTCAGATTTTTTTCTCCATTTTACCAGAGTCTTCCCCTGTGAAGTTCTTTCTTCCTGTGTTGTTAGAAACAGCTGGTCACAGAACCAGTAATCACATTTGGACACAGTTTGTTGGTTGGATGCAAACTTAATTTGCTGAATACTTTAAATTAATTTAGTGGTTTTTTTTTTTATTAAACCAAACTTTATCATTTTGAAACAGTACTGTATAATTCTGACTCTTCTTAAGTCATACAGATCCTTTAGATTCTATTACTTTCTGAATATATACAATCAGTGTGCCTGTATGATAATACTTGACTGATTAAATTAGGGAACATGGTAAAATCCCTGGTTTATGCAGCTAAAAGCTTCCATTCATGCCATTTTTTATTCAGAGCTGAGAAAGTGCAAGAAATTGTTGCCTGGTTAAAAGCACATCCTGTGTCAGCTTTGTCTCGATCATCTTGTGACTTGCAAATTTTGGATGCAGCCATTGTTGAGAAAATTGAAGAAGAAGTAGAGAAATGCAAGGTACACAGCTTGGTGTCATTGTGAGCAGGGGTGAACCAAAAAGCAATGCTTGTTATTTTTGAAGTTCTTGAATTTAAATAAGACAATTGAAGATTACTTGCCATTCCAAAGAAAAAGGACACAGAATATAGTGTAAAATCTGGATTTGTAATATCCCAGAAATTCAGAAGAGCTCATTATTAATCTTTTTAAGAAATGCACTCTTTTAGGCGTGATTTATCAGTAGTGGGACATACTCTGAGCTGTGCCTTTTGGTGGTTTTGTAAAGGAACAGTTATCAGTATATACTGAAAAATAGTAAGGTCTTTTTATTTGAAATTCCAGCTGTTCTTCCCTTGCAGTTTCTCATTGGTCTGCACAAAATTAGAAAGTAATTTTCTGCAGACCAAAAGATGAAAAAAGTGGCCAAGGAAATTACTAAAGTAAAAGCTAGGGACAAAGCCATATGAAATAATGGGCTGATGTTTTTTGAAATAACTTGCAAGGACATCTTAGAAAATTGGTGTGAAATCTGGAATTAGACAACTAACAGATTGGTATGAAATCCAACATGTTTTAAAAACTAGACTTACTCTAAAGACTTCATTAAAGCTCTATACCATTACCTAAAAGAAACTAAAGAATTCTACATGATCTTTTCGGGAATTTTGTTTTATATATTCCAGTGCTTGTTCCTACACTGGTTTGTAAAGACTTTCTGTTCCTTTCCTTTAGCAGAGGAAGAGCAACAAGAAGGTGCGAGTAACTGTGAAACCCCATTTGCTGTACAGAGTAAGTGATGTGAATGGATTGGGGGGCGGTTTAAGATCATATTTATTTTACCTAAGCTTACCAACTTCAGGAAAACAGAATTTTATGACAGTATTGATGAAAGGAAACGTTTTGTTATGCCTTTTAGAAAATAATTTTGGAAATAGCAGTCTGTTTCTACAAGGAGAGAATTTCTTGTAACTGCAGACTCTGTCATGTTGGGTACAGACTTTCAGGTTTTTTCTACCTTGTGCCCTTTATGCTTCTGCAGTTCTTACTGGCTCTATTGTGAAGGCAAATTAAAATGTGCTTTCTGCTGTCTCTTTTCCCATGTTTTACTTTTTACTCACTCCTTCACGTAAGACCGATTGCTCCTCTTGCCCATGTTACTGATACAGGCAGGTTACATGTGATGTTTTATTTCTGTCTGAACTGATCCTCTTCATCAGCCAGTGTACATCACATTTTCAGGCAGAAGAAGTAGTGAGAGTTGCAAGGGGAAAAAAAGAAAGTTTGCTTTGAATCTGGAGATGAAAGTTTTTTAGTTTTTGGGGGGTTTTTTTCTATGGTTTCTTTTCCCCAGAAAGTTTACTTTATAGTGTGTCTCAGATATTGTTAAAAATGCATTTTTATTGTAATTCTTATCGTTTTGCATACATTAACATAGTCCTTTGGTTATTGTCAGCCATTAGAACAGCAGAAAGGGGTTGTTCCAGATCGAGATGCAGAGTACAGGCTGTTTGACCGTGTAGTCAATGTCAGAGAGAACTTTTCTGTTCCTGTTGGTCTACGAGGCACCATCATTGGAATTAAAGGAGGTAATATTTTCTTTATGGTTATAACTACATAACAGCTCAGCTAGTAATAAGACAGCAGGATTCAGCATAGTGTTTTATGTAATGGTTGTGAATGTACATATTTCTTGCTATGAAGCATATGCAACTTGAACCTGTTAATAACATATTTACTGTTTTGAATAAAACCTACCTTCTGTTTTAATTTAATGTGTTACACAACTGTTATTTGAAAAAGAAATTACTTTCCCAATGGTCCTTCATATATGAATTAGAAATTACTCTTTGTTTCTTCTTAATATGAAGAAGGCAGATCAGAAAAGGAACAAAATGAAGTTATGGGAAAATATGGGCAAAGTTAAGTTGAGTAGACATAAAACCAAGTATCCACCTTAATACTTACATCGAACGTGAAACTTTATCAAGTATGATTTGTCTTAAACAGTTTTAATTTGTATTTTTATTCTGTAATATTCCATTTCCATTAGTTGGCATAGATGTATACCTTGTTTGACAAGATTGACCATAAATGTTTTTATTTGGTTTAATTTGTATTTTTATTCTGTAATTTAATTTCCATTAATTGGCATAGATGTATACCTTGTTTGACAAGATTGACCATAAATGTATTTCAAGAAGGATTTATTGAGGCCCACAGAGTGTTGCAGTTTGAGGTCGACTATTACAAATGGTTTTCTTACCTGCCATTTCAGTAGCTGCTTTCTCATTCAGTTTGCATCTAACAGAATCTCAAAGACACTAGAGTGCAGTTTTTAAAAAAACTATTCTTTTCACCATAATTCTTAAATACTGCTATAATTTTGAAGGTGTATTAGTCTATCGTTATGCAAGAAGCTAATGTTAAAGCTGTTAGTTTCTGACTGCCTGAATGTAGAAGTGGCTTGCATCTCTTTTCTGCCAGTTTCTGACAAGTGTGACATAGTGCTGTAAACTGCAGTTCTGTAAATGCACATGGGTAAGGTGTAATGCATGGTACCTTACTGTTGAAACTATATCTTAAAGGGCAGATATATGTGAGACCTTTAGAAGAATTTCCAAATTCCTGTTAATGAAATTATTCAGAAATTATTTGGGGGTCTGATGTTCATTTTTGGTCTTTTCATTATTTATTGTATAAGTAGTATAGGTAGGTATTTACATAATATAGATGGACATAACTATATAAGAAGATGTTGTGCTTTGTTTTCTATAGCTACTAGAGAAACAGATGTGCTCTTTGAAGTTTTGTTTGATGAAGAATTCCTTGGAGGCCTCACTATAAGGTTTGTGTGGTGGAGTTCAGAGTCGACTCATGCTATTGGCGTAGATGGCATGGAATTGTTGGCTTTGGTTTGGTTGAGTATTTTTAAGGCCTCTTCTTGAAACTTGGTTTCTTGGCAGTGTTGGTCAGTTTTTATTTCTTTTGTGTTTTTTGATTCTCTTTGGGTAGTGATAATTTTTTGTGAGGTGCGTTATATTGTGAAAATGCTCTTTAGGCTTTTTTGGTGTATAAACTTCTGACTTGCAGAAAAGAAATATGAACCAGCAGAATAAAGCACTAGATCTAGATGTCTTTCTAAACAAATATGTAGAAAATAGGTTCTTGCCAGTATGTATTCAACATGTAGATTAAAAACCAAGCAGAAGGCATCTGTTCCTCTGAAGGAGGGACTCTGAACTCAAAAGTTGATACTTAGACACTAAATTCTAACCATTAAAAAACTGAACTGTTTTTCCAGAGGTGGAGGTGCTTTTGTTTTTTTAAGTGGGATAACTCTTCTGTATTGAAGTAAACAGCTAAACTTCTAAGTGCTCAGATATAGCTTGCAGGCTTCATTTTTACTGTTCTTACCTAAGGTTTTAATGATGGGAGTTAGAAGGAAATTCTTCCCTACTACCTGCATTCAGCAGTCATAGCCCTTGCAGATAATACTCAGTGTTCAGAAATGCTGCTTAACTTCAATTTGTAATTCTGCTACTGAACCTGAAACTTCAGTTTTCATTTCTGAAAAATAAAAGATTATTGTTTTCTGGTTCTTTTACAGAAATATTTACTACAGAACTGTGCTATAACAATTCAGTCATCTTAAAAATTTCTTTAAGCTCGGCACTGAAAGGTACAATATAAACTGAGAGTAGTGCTAATTACTGTTTGGCAGCCAGAGGGCAAAGGGGAGCCATGGGTTTCAGGTTGTCTGCAATGCTACTAGATTTCAATATTGCATAGTTTTCAGCTTCTGTTCAAACTTGAGTCATTGTCTTTTGGCAACAATTAAACTGCATGAAACAACTATGGAATTCACTTTTCTCAAGGTGCTCACCTGCCAGAGGTTATCGCCTGCCCTCAAGTGCCTTAATTAACCTGTCTCATGGTAGTCGGTCAGAAATGGGAAATCAAAAGCTGATGGCCATAGTTAAACCTCAGCCAGCAGTGAATAACTACAACTCATATGCGTCTGATCTGTCATCTGTATGCTCACAAAAAGTGCATCTGGGAGGCCTCAACCATTCTCCTCGCTCCCTTTTTGTTCCTACTCAAGTAAGACTTTTCTCACATTTGTACAAAAATGTTTTTCCCTAGAGTCTGAAATATTGACATGGTTATCTTCATTGGTCCAAACAAAATTTAGTTTTTATGTCAATAGAATTCTTATGTTGGAGAAATTAATTAATTAATCTAATAATGAAAAGGACTAAAATTTCCTTATTGACAATGGTTTTGCTCTGAGTAACTCCAGTTGCTTTTCTGAAAGATAGACACTTACTTCAGAGCAGTGACACCATATTTGGTGTCAACAAATAGTATGTTTGGACAGAGATGCAATTGGTTCCTTAAAGCTTTGATCCAATTAAAGCTTCCTTATTGGCTGTTTGTCCATGCATAGAAAGGGAAGATAGGATTTCCGTATCAGTTTTGCTTCTTAGTTATAATTTACTTTGAAACTACAATAAAGGAGGAAAATTACACGTTTTGAATTGAGTTTCTTGGTGGTTTAATGACACTTTATTTTTTTAACAAGAGTCTTCTTTAAAGAAACTTACCTTAATTAGTAATTTCATGTTGCTGTAGGTGTGTTTGAAAACAGTTGTCTCATGTTTTTCAAGTCTATACAAGAAAAAGTACTTTCCAAAAGAAAATGTAAGACAATGAAACACTTCTGATTTTTTTTTTTCCCTCTCTCAATGATTTTACAACTGAATGGAAGACAGCATTACAATCTCAGGGCTGAAAATCAGGGCAACTCTAACTCACCCCAGAAAGGATCATTTCTGAGTGGCAATCAGAAAAATAAAGTGAGTGTTCAGATTCATTTAGTATTGGACCCAAATGTCTCTGTTTTGGCCCTCTGTTCAGGGTGGGTGTCAATTTCTCATGATTAATAAATTGCTTTGTTTTAGTACATCAGATGTTTTAGTTCAGATACAGACTGGAGCAGAACTGCTCTCAGTTCTTGAATGAATATGATATCCTGTATAATCCTTGTTTAGATATTAGATTTTTTAAAGTAGTTTTTTGCATAGCTGGGCTTCAGTTCGGCGGTAACATACCTGTAATGTAATGAAGTAATTGAGCCTTGGGAAGGCCTTACAAAATAAATCATTAATAATACAATCTAAGAATACTTCCAGTATGAAAGCATGCTTTGAAACCATTCTGAACTGTTAACTGAGTTTCATTATACTTAATCATCAAACTAACCTCATTTCACTTTAGTAGTGATTCTTGGTAAAAATTGTAACTGCAGTCCACTTCTACAGCTTGTTCCATAATTACCTGCAACTTGTACTAGTGTCAATATGAAAGTATTTGTCATCTGAGGACTATTAAACTTGAACCTTACATTTTCCAGAATGTCTTGGTATATACTTAGCTGTTCAAAAGTTGAATTTATCGCTGCTGAGTTTGTCTGGGGTCTTGTTTTTTTTATTTTATCAGGCACAGAGTAAGCAAGATGATGAATTCTGCAGCATATGGCAGTCATTGCAGAGTTCTGGGAAGTCTCATCACATTCAACAAAACATGCATGAGAAGGTTTGTATAGAAACTTTTAACAGATCTCTGCATTCAAAATGTAAGGTTCTTAATTTCATACATTGGTTCATTGTATCAGAAAACTTCATGTTATAAATAAACCATCTGGTGAAAGTGGTGTTACATGGAGTATGCATAGCTCTGGAAAGGGGTAATCATAGGGCACTACTATGTAAATAACACAGACCCAGTTTTCTGGTTAAGCTTTGATGTTTGAAACCCTAGGGTGCAGTTCTACCTCAGGAAATCAAGCTGGGAACTGGCCATCAGTTTTATAAGCCAGGCTTCAATGACGGCAGCTTTAAATGTCAGCAAAGAAAACAGGAGCCTTATAAAAAATGTAAGTACTATAATTAGAAACTTTGTTTAGGGGAACTACTTGCTTTATCTGACCTTCATTGAAATGTCTGAAGAACTTCTTGTTTTTTTGTAGTTACTGGCAGGAAATAATTTATTATAGTTTTATAAACACTACATTGCACTTGTTATTGTCAAATAATGTCCCTGGTGTGTATGTTAGATTGTTCCACACGTAATCCTAAACCTTTTAGGTAAGTTGTTCAGTGTTCTGTTGACTTGCCACCATCTAATATAAAAACCAAACAAAAAACCATGCGTGTCTTCGAAATTCTGCTTGTGATCATATCAGTACAGTAGAAAATTAGATATATTATTGGATATGCTTTGTTTTATTTTATCCTAGAAGAAAAGCGTACATCAAATGACCTATGAAGTAAAAATTAAACATTTGATAAAACCATTCATATTAATGCAACTCTGTGTATTTGTATGGAGTTACTAATTGTTTTGAGTCTTGACTGTTACTGTTTTCAAGAGTATTTCAAAAGAATGCATTCTTTTGTAGTTAAAGAAGATTCCAAAACTACAAGAGGTGAAAGTCAACCACATAATAAAATGTCAAACCAACAGGTAATTTTGTCTGTACTGAGTTAATATATTCTCTTCATTTTACACTGATGTGACTTACTTTACAGATTTGTCTTTAACTGGCATCTTAGTTGATTCTTTTAGTCAGCAAATCTATTTTGGAGATTTTTTTTCATTAGAGGTTTATAGACAGAATACGAGAGAGAGTGCATAAAATGTATGATGATGCCAAACAACTTTACTATATCTCTTAGATTCTAAAAGCTATGCTGTAATGCGAAAACAAAAATGCTCGGTGTTCAATAAGCTGAAATTCTCTAAGAATATTAGCTTCTGAAAGCTCTTTGCTTTTCTGATATGTTTGTGTTATAATGAGTAATAGAGTATTCAATAGTAATGGTTGCAATTTATTGCAGAATTTCGCAGGTGTGAATAAGTACAATGTCAAACTTTTGAAGAGGAATGGAAGTCCCAACACGCCTTTAATTCAGAAGGCTGCAGTTGACAGTCCCTGCACAGGTGGAAAGGTAGGATCTAGGAAGTTGACTGTCTTTGAGTAACTTCAGTTTCCAGTCCATTTTGTTCAATTGTTCCTGGTTGCTTGTGTACAAATTCCTGTTTAAAAAATACAACAAACCTGTGTAACTTTTAATTGTTCTGTAAATAATTTCTATCAATTTTAATATGCAGAACTTGATGCAGGCTCTGGATATCTGTTCACACTCTGAACAGACATGCCTGTGACCTGCCCAACGTAAGAGAGAAACAATCCGAATGAGAATAAAATTAACCTCAAATTGATACCCCTTCCTCTTGCAGCTGCTTATAAATACACTTAGTTGATGTACCTTTTTTCTTCTTTAATTTAAGAAGGACAATGAACTGGAAAGGCTTCTAGCTTCTTTGAAAATTTCCAAAGAAAATGAAGTGCAGACTTATTCCAAGGAAGCAGGAGCTACAAATGAGGAACATCTGTCACCACAGTCATTCGCTATGGTCTGTATACTGCAGGAATCATTACATTGCAGTTCAGCTAAGCTGATGTCTTAGCATCAATGTTTCTATTTAAAGAATCTCTATGAAACCTCATACTGCTTTTTAAAGTGCATTAATGATTTTTTAATTAGCTATTCTCAAAGAAAATTAGCAAACACCTTTGTTTATGCTAAGATGCTGTTACCTTTGCTTTGATAAAATGTAACTGATTGGAAAATAAGAAGTCAGATTCTGTTACCAATTATGATAATCAGTGTTAAGAAAGTCATGTTGTCTGGATGCCAGCATGTTCCTGAGTGGTTTATTTTATTTTTAAAGAAAGGAACACAGATGCTTAAAGAGATTTTGAAGATAGATGGCTCAGATCTACAAACAAAGAATGAAGTGAAATCACAAGTTAATGATGTTCCTGCTCCCTCTAGTAGACAGGATTGCCATGGAGCTGCTGTGCAATACAGACCAACAAAAAAAATGGGTATGTGTAACCCTCAGCTCATAATTCAGAGCTTCACCTTGTAGTGACAGGGTACTGTTTATCAAAATATAGTAATGAAATTTCCAGCTTTTTTTAGTTCTGCTTCTGTATTTGGGCCTAAAACTCTCTTCAGCTATAGAGGTTTTTTTTAACAATATGAAAATACTAGGAAAAAATCAAATAAGCCTTTTTTTCTTTTTTTTTCATCCTTTTAGTGAAGGAAACAATTGTGATACAGCTTTTTTTTTTTCCCTTTTTTGTCAGCTGCATATATGAACAAGCATAGCCCTGGAGGCCCCCAGAACACACCAGCGATAGAAACTGGAGGTCACCCTTTCACTTGTCCGCAGCCTGCACTGTCTACTGTCTCTGAGCTTTCTCGTATTTGCTCTCTTCTTGGAATGTCACAACCAGATTTCTCTTTCTTAAAAACACCACAGGTAAAATGTTTTTTCTGCGAAAGTACAAGTTCTCAACTTTCTTTCAACTGTTCTATATTAAATATCTGGACTGACTCCTGAAATCTGTCTGAAAATAAACCTTAGCTCCCTTTGTTGCCTTATTTAAAACAAACAAATCTCTGTTTCTGTCTCACTGTTTGTTAGCAATACAAATTCCCTCAAAAATATTCTCTTTTTTTTCTAGACCATGACAGTTTGCCACATAAAGCTGTCAAATGGTTTATTGGTTCACGGACCGCAGTGTCATTCCGAAGCTGAAGCAAAGGAGAAAGCTGCGTTTTTTGCTTTACAGCGCTTGGTGAGGATGTGAAAAATCTCTTCAGATCTTTGTCTCTGTGCACTGCATCTGTTGGTAAGCCTCTGTTTCCTTCTTCATAGGGTTCTATAGGAGTAAACTTTGCTTCGCCTCCACCTCCAGCAGTGTTTCCAAATTACCAACCACTAGGAGTTCCTGTACCACCTGGATCAATTCCTCCAGTATTTGCACAGCCCCCTGGTAGGTGTTTGACTAGTACACATTTCATATAATATCACAATATCCTCTAATTATGGTGTTTCTGTATATGTAAATGAATGCTTTCCAGAAAGCTCCATTTTTTGGTCTTCGTGTGTCTATTGTATGTCTGAACAGTTTTGAAAGCAGTTCATGATCCTCTTTGCATCAATGTGCAGATTAATTCAGTATGAAGGATCATGCCTATTAATGATTACTTTTCCTCAAGAATGTATTGATCTATTCAGTCTTAGGTGCTTTTTTCCATTTTTTTTCCCTTCAAAACAGCAGTCATTATTTCAAAGCAGTCAATCCTAGTCCAGAATTTGTTAGAAATAGCCTCCTTGATTTTTTTCATGGATTTTCCCCCCATGCCATATAGTTAATGTTTCTGCATGCAATACTGTTTTTATCCATCTATTACCAACTTTCACTGAAGTGCTACATCACAGTCCTCTTGTGCACTGCCAAACATGAGCGTGGTAAGTAACCCTCCAAAAATTGCTAAAAGTTCCGGTGTTGTTTTGTATTCTGTCTCCCAGTTGTTTTCTATTTTACTGAAGTTCCCATCACAGCTAGGAGTTAAGGAGTCAGCACCGTTGTAGCATCCTAGAAACTCATACAGCAGCTGCTACATCTCTTTCCTGTGGGGTTTCTGTGTTGTTGCTATGTTCCAAAATGATGGCCTAAACTTGCAGCTTTCTGCTAATACAGTTGGCTGAGCTGAGGATGTGAAGATCCCACATTATGTGCACTCTGGAATGCAGATACCATGACTGGAGTGCTCTTAATTGTGTTGTCATCTAGGTGTAGTTCTGTTTATTTGGGGGCTTTTGATAATAAATAAATACTTAGATATTTTGAAGTAAATATAAAGCATTTCAGGCTTTGCTGGAAAGATAAGCAACATGCAGACAGCTGTAGCTGGAGTAGTCCTGAGGTCTTGGCAAGTTTGTATTTTTTGTTTGTTTTTTTAATGGAAGAGAGCTAAAAGTTTCTTATTTTCACAGCTAATATGATGCCTCCATCATCTCACATGTTTGGTCCAGTGTCCTGGAGTACTCCAGTACCAAAGCATTATTATCCTGGCTCCTATCCAGGAAATGTGTCTCTTGCAGGAACTATACCAGTTGGTTCTCACAACCAGTTTATACCTCTGCAGGTAAGAGCAGCAGGTTTGTCTCAATATTGTATTTTTGTAAAAAAATGTGGCTACAAGACAGATACAACAACGCCCCCATTGTGAAGTAGTATTTAGTATTAGAAAATTGTTGTTAAGATAAGTATGCATGTTTTCTGAAAGTGGAATATTTGCAGATTTTTGAGAATGCATTCTGTTAAATAATATTTATTTAATTTAAAGGTAACTAAAAAAAGGGCTGCTAGCAAGAAAAACTTTGAACTCAAGGAGTTTCAGAGTTCCCCTCAAGCTGCACCACTAAAGAATGAACAGCCAGTGTCTTCTGACCACATTCAGCAAGATAGTTCTTCAGCTCCTTTAAAATCTCCTCAAGCTGCTCAGTCCACTGTTTCATTTCAAGACAATGTGGCTACTCCAAGTGTTCCTCATAACAAATCAACACCAAACACTTCCAGCAAGCGAAAGCCAAGAAAACTGGCTGTCAATTTTGGCGCACCAAAATCTTCAGAATAAATCTGGTAGCTAGGTGTATTTTATCTTTAACTCTTTCCCCACTGTTATGTTCTATCATTTAAAAAAATCAGAAATCTCTATTAAAAAGACCAGCCATTTTAAGTATAATATAGAAGGAAATACATTTTATTTGCTATGGTTTTCAGGTTGTCATTAAAACCATAAAAATTATGTTAAAAATTTGTTTTATTTTCACTTAAATTAGCAAAAGCCAGGAAATACTGACTTAGGGTTGCCATGCCCTTGTGCCTAGGTTTCTAAACAGTGGCTTACAGACAATATCGGGTAAGCAGCAATAACAGTGGCAACTTTAACTCAGGTTGGATGTGCTTTTTGGGAGGGATGTGGAACAGTAATAAGTTGGGCATCTAACAGTGTTTAGCATGACATTTTGTACTCTAGCTTGATTTTAAATAGTGTAATAAGACAGAGAGTAAAAATTATTTAAATGCAGCTTTTTATATTGGCACTCCGGGTCCTTCTGAGTCAATCAGTGTAACTGCAAGCTGACTACAAAGAAACTGCCAAATCCAGTCTAAGTAGGAACTGCTGGGTTTTGCACCAGAGGGCAACAGCTTTACAGCTTTCAGAACATAGGTGTTGTGTGTCTGGTATTGGAGTGGCAAAACCTGGTTGCTCTTGCACAATCTGTTCCAGGAGATTAATTTATAGGATGTATTGAATAAAAAAATATATATTTGCAAAGTAGAGATCCCTTTGGTAAAGTACATTTAACTTTTTTTTAATCTACCAATTTAATTGTTTTCTGATGATAAAATAACAAAGTTATCTAATACAGATGTGCATAGCTTCCTAAATGCTTGTGATAGCCTGATTTTTTTCTAAACTATAAAAATAGCCAGACAAAAAGACAACCCATTTTGCTGGATGGCTGTCAGTTATGTTTACTTAGAGTCCATTTCTTCCTCTAATAGTCTGTGCCCTGAACCCTTCTCTATAGTAGGTTTTTCTTTGTTACTAATGACTTTTAATATTTATTTTTTTTAGTTTTGTGAGAGAATTTCTGTGTTGCAAATTTAAATTATCAGGAAGTGTTGCTATTGGTTTCATAAGAATATTCAGACAAAAAGCTGACTTGAATTTTTGGACAGAACTATGGGATTCTTTGCTCATATAGGAAAAAAAGAAGGCTTAGAGGTCCTTGTATTCTTTTTAACACACATGTACCAATCTTATGGACATTACTATAAAGTCTTCAGTCTAAGAAAAAATTTGAAACCTCTGTTGGTGCTGCTTACTGGCATAGATTAAATTTCATTTTTCATCTGTTCTAGAAAAACAAGTATTTTTTCTCTAAGGCACCGAAACCAGAAATAAAGCAAACTTGAGTGATTTATTTTGTTGCTTCTGAACAGGTTTCATTCTGGGTCTGCAAGTCTTTAATTTGGTTTTTTGCCTCCATTTCTTGGTGTAGTATGAAGTTTCACATTATTACTGTGTTACAGTGTTTTTTAATTTTCATTTCTCCAAAACAGTTGTTGGCTCAGCAGTATTTGTAGAATAGCAGCAAGCCCTATAAAAAAGATAACAGAGGTAAAAACAAGATTAAGAAATTTTATTTTACTTAGTATCACAAAACTTGTGGAGTAGTCTACATATCGTCTGAAACTGCATTGATTTTGTTGTTGGCTTTATAGTCATCTAGTCTCAAGAGGTGCAAAGCCATATTCTGTGAAGGGAAAGTTGTATTTTTTGGGGTTTTTTTCTCATTAGCAACATGAGACTGATATGATGCTGCCATGCCAGTATTTTAGAAGTGGTTATGTGACATTTAATTGGCCCACTGTATCTGTCTGAATGATCTGATCGTAAGATAAAATACCTATTTGAAAATTTCCGTGACAGAGATGAGGTTATGTTAGACTCTCACATCACAGAATTTGGATGTGTCTGTACAGCCAATTTATGCAGATTTTTGAGAAACAAAGTTATGGAGGATGCTATACTCTTATGTACCATGAACACAGCAATTTTTATTAATTATTCTACTTCAGACTAAGATTTCCGCTCCCTCTTCAAGTGGAATTGCTATATGTTGTATATTTAGGTGGTTAAACCCTTTATACTGTAACTGCTGCATATTGTATTAGTCCCTGATTTTTAGTTTTTCTATTTTATGAAAGTGACTGCCTGGTGCCCAGTTAATTACAGTTTTACATGCCCTGGTAGATGTGACATCTGCATTGATCATTGCCATGTCCCCTTTGATTTCATTATTATATTTTAACAAGGTCATAATGTTTAGCTCATACAGATATAAATTTAGGCATTTCTTTTTCTCATAGATATAAAGTATTTTCTAAGCACTGGAGTTTTTCATTAGATCTTATACAGAGCAGTATTTTACTAAAAATCCAAAAGGGAAGACTTTTATGTGCGCATTTTTGTAGTTTCTGATTTTTTTAAAATAACTTTTCATTGTTTATCTGCCAAGTGAAATGTTTTAAATTTGCATATGAATGGATACAGAATGTATTTTTTGTGCTGTTTAGTGTTAAGTGTGCATTTACAGATTTTTAGCATGTAGTTGCACAAAGACTGTGCAAAGATATTTTGGAATATGAATATATGCCACACTGAAGGAAAAACATTCATAAAACTTAAATGCTATATAGAACTCTAATGCAATAGAGTAATTTTATAAACTGTCTGTGTCTGCTTGAATTAAATATTGAAACAAGAAACATTACCTATTTTCACTGTTTTATTTCCAAATACCACGTGGGAACTTGTGTATGCTCCAACCCAGATGTTTACAGTATTAATCAAATCTCATGAAACTCAGTTTCTGTGATTCTCAGAAGCAGGACCTGCCCTCATGACTGTTTCTTGATGGCTTTCGACTATAATTTCAACTGTGATCAAAATACAAAAGGCTGTTGGTCACCTTGCAATTAAAAGCATTTAACATGATACTGATCTCCCAGAAATTTTTTGGCCTTGTCACCGATCAGATTAAAAAAACCCAACCCCATTAAGAAGTCATTAAGATTATTTTCCAGTAAGCTCAGTCCTAGTGATTGTTAACAAGGTGGAGAACCAGCTGGTGGCTGAGAAGCAGAATATTGTCTTTCTTACACATTTTCGTGTAAATTAGCTTGTTTAAAGCAACCAGCATAAAGATTGGAATACACTCTTAGCATGACCAGCTGCTGCAACTTTATCTAAGTGTGTATGCAACTTGTTGTTTCTGTATAGAACAATTGTGGTTGGTGTAAACACTCAGCTCATATTGCTCAACTTAAAGACACCAAGATAAAATCTTGCATTTCATAAACTGTCTTCAAATGATTAGTCAATGAAGTCTTAAGTGCTGTTACCCTGCATGGTGAGTTCTGCCATCTCAATATATGGCACTAAAGAAAACTCAAGCAACTTAAATGAAGGGATTACTTGAAAATATTATCAGTTATTGCAGAGTAAATCTTGCATGGATGCTTCCATTCAAAAATTAGAGGACTTCTGTTCAATTTAATTGATTTGATCTGAACTACTATATAGATGACCCCTGAGAGTGAGGAATCTCAAAGAAGTAATTGTTACTTAAAACAAGGATGTTTTGTAATTCTGTTTGCAATGTGATCTCCTTATGTATTCCATAATCAGCCTTCCTTACTACTGAGAGACAGTTATGTTCTTCTCTTTCTGTATCTGGAAAGGGGACACAGTGACATCAAGGGCATAAGGGCAGTCTGAATACACACTCTTGGCCAAAAGAATTCAAATTCAGGTGCATGAGGACCCTTGAATATTGAGACTGTAACTGATAAATGTTTTGAAGAACCTGAAATCATGAGGTAAGTGGCTGTTCTTTATTAAAAGAATCCATGGTTCCAACAACAATTTCTTATTGCTGTCAATTTTTGAGTGGGTGTTTACTCTTATTTTTCTGTAATTTACAAATTTGCTGTTTTATTTTGCTTTGAAATACAATACAGATCAAAGGAGTGGTCACAATGCTGTCAAGTGCAAATAGTAAACCTGGTTCCTATTATTTGAAGGACAGAAAAAGCATTTTTCATTAAAACTTTTTTTTTCTGGTAAAACTTGGTCGATAAAATGTCACTGCATTGGCAGTGATTTATGAAAGTTGATTATCACACTTAGTCCTGTAGTTTATGTAATTGTAGTTATTTTTAATGGCTAGGTCTTACTGAAACAATAGTTCTTAAGTGCTTTTTCATCCCTTTAGATTCTAGTATATCCATTCTCTTGTTCTAATTAAGCTTTATTGATGGCCCTGTGCCTTTTTAATATTTTTTTTCATTAATTTCTAAACTTGAAATAAATGTTCTTTTAAAGAGCTATTCAGCCCTGAATTTTCTAGTTACACAGGACAATCATATATATGTACACACACAAACACATATATATACAGGAACTCAATCACTCATTTTCTTAAAATTATTCATAGTTATGTCATTTTTACTCCACACAATCATTTCTTAAGAGACATCCAGAGGATGATGGACACTTAGCTTGTTAATACACATTGCTCTTCTCCAAATGCAGATATTCCTTAGGATCAGTAAAAATAATGGGCAAATAATGAAACATTAACAAAGTAAGTACACCAGTTTTCACTTCACTTGCTTTGATAGATAAATTCTTGGCTTACAACTTAACTGTCCTAAAGTCCACCTCATTTCCTGTCAGAGTTTACTTGTGATGCAGAGCTGGCTGAAAGGAAGGACCACTTGTGCCTGAGGCACGGTGCAAACCCTCATGCATGTGGGCACAGATTTGATGTGCAATCCTCTAGTGATAATCCTGGATTGACCAGTCTCTTATTACTTGCTCCCTCTGGGTCATGCCAAACGATGTTGCCACATTATGAATCTTATCAAGGAATTAATCAGATTGGCACTCTCCTGTGTGTTAATTTTTATAATAGCTCATCATGGAGCCCCGAGAACAGCTGGGTTGGTACAGTTTGTAGTGTGAGGGTGGGTTAATTTAGCAAGAATGGAACTCCTTAAGAAACATCCCATGACTGCCTAAAGCTCAAATTACCCACAAATCTAACATGATTCATCAAGTGATGTCATTGCATGTGGTTCTGTCTGTTGACTTCGAGAAGAGTAGTAACTTCTGCAGGAGTACAGGAGGAACTGATGAGAAACAGTCATATGGTAAATTATTGCAACAACATTTGCATAAAGATGATCATTTTCATTTTGGTCCGTCTGTTACGTTTTTAGGTGAATCTTAATGAATGATGGATGTGGGCTGCACCAGCCAGTGGAGCAACAGAAATTAGTGGGCTCTTTCTTGTTCATGTGCAAACTGACAAAGGGCCCTACATCAATGCTTTCATAATGTTAAACCTTGTTAAAAAGGTAGAGCTAAATAAGTGGGTAAAATGGTAACTGACAGTTTGAGGAGGCAGTAGGAAGATAGATGCTCCTTGACCAAAAAAATCAGCTGCGGAAGAGAAGATAAAACCCCCATGTATTATAAATTTTGGGTCTTTCTCTTCAAGATTTCAGTATCTGGAATCCTGTTAGCAGTGCCTGTGGCAAGTTTGATTGATATTGGAAGACTTAGGTGAATGAAGATGCTCCAACACAACAGCAATGCACCTGAGAATACTCTATTAAAAAAACCAAAACTAGTTAACAATTAAAAATACAGTTAATTAGGAAATTTTATTTAATACTCTGGCCCTAGAAAATATCAAGACAGTGTCAAGATAATGTTTTCTTTCTGGGAGTTAGGTCTGCTGGGTCTGTGGCAGTTCCATCTCTCAAGGTCTCTTGCACCATCCTATGAAGTCTGTTTCTTGCTGACTGAAACATTCAGAGTATGATGACACTGCTTATAAATATTCAATTATATTCAGTAAAAATCATGATAGGGGTTTTGCTGTCCCTGCTAGCAGTGTAGGATCTGCTTGACCCTGATGTTCTGCCATTTGATTGGTTTTACTTAATCACTCTTTCCTTTGCTACAGCATTGTGCAGGTCCCTGGAGTGCCTCCACTCCTTCATTTGGTTTGATAACCCAGTAAAATATAAGACCAGCCACGCTTTTCAGAGAGCAAAGAAGCTGAGGATTTCAGCAGAGAAGATGCAGAAGTACGGGACATGGCTGCTGAGGTACTTGGTATGTGACCCCAGGTGTGCCAGCTCCCTCTTGAGCAGTGACATGGCACCCATGCTCTCACCCAAACAGAAGGACTCGGGCTGCTGGTAGGGGTTATGCAGGCTGATTGCCAGGAAAGTGTCCAGGAAAGTGAGATGATTTATGACAGACCAATATAAACTAACAACAGATAAGTCATGTATGGACACGCTCTGCACATATCAAAGCACATTGTGTCTTTTATGGCATTGCTTTTATGACTTTACAAACAGAACAATATTAAGAAATTTGTATTTCATAAGCCTCTCATAAATTAAGCAATTTTAATACATGCTGTCTATGACTAAGATTATGTATGCATTGACACTTTGCAAGTTGGTTCAGGTTATCTTTTTCCACACATCTAAGTTCTTTGTTAACATATTAAACAGAATTTAAGATCTGCAAGAAATCGACTTTACATGGCCACTTCCATGCAATCAAAAGGGTATGTGTTTATTGCATTAGGAACTTGTGAAAGAAAAAAGTAACCTGTATCCATTTTCTTTTTAAAGTTTTGCTTAATCTTGCAGTGAGGCAGGCTCTGCTTGTATTGATACTGTGAAAACACAAAGGATATCTAGATGCCTTTTTTCCTAGTGCTTCTTAATTTTTTAATGTTTGGAGAGGTTTTAGCCTTTTGTACCAGTTACACATGTTCAATCTTATTGAGGGAGCTTTCATCAGAAGTTTTAAGTGATTATTATTATTATGCTGTTAGTTTTGATAAATTAGTTTGAAGGAAAGTACTCTTCATCAGAATCTGAAGTACTGGTACCTCTCTGACAATTGGTTCCTCTCTGACATACATCTATTAGCTGTATGTCAAGAAAAATCAAAGAGAATAGAAAGTCAAAGAGATTGTGATTTTGTAGTGTTGTTCCTTAGGGAGGAGAGGTAAAGCACTTGTTTCTTGGCTTTCTCTTTCATGTGCCTTCACTTCCTCGTGATCTGTACCTTTGTCCCAGTGACCTCTGCGACTGTTCATGTGAGGTGAGAAGCCTCTTAATGTGGCTTTCACTGTCAGTAGTATTCCTGGTTTAAAGATCCAGTAACGCCAGACTTATCTCACATAATACTGTTCATACTGCAGTTTTTTCCTAAGAGGGGCCAAACTAGAGGTGCAAGGAGGAAATATTTTCAGTGTGGTTTTTTTTTGTTTTTCTGCTCTAATTAAATTAGTTTAAACTAATTGACAAACTCTTCTGATTACATTTGGGTTAAAACGAAATTCTACTGGTATTAGTTTGGGGTTGAGCATTCTGAATTTTATTGGTTTACTGTTAATATTTCTGGTTGTTTCTGCTTAAAAATTACCACCCCATCTAAGGGCAATACGGGAACATTTCTGTCACTAACTCTTTTTCAGCAGTAATTTTAGATGCCGTTCCCTCTGTAAAGCAAACTGATGGCACCAGTGAATTGCTGAATTGCTGCAGCTCATGACTGTGTAACTGTGTTTAATCCCAGCATTGATACTCAGTGCCTTCAGTGACAAATCCCAGGAGGAAAAACACCTCGTTTAGTGTGAGGAGAAGTTGGGGTCAGACACTGATCACGGGGGATCAGCATCGCACCGTGGGCATCTCTCCACGCGGCGCTCGGGGCTGAATTCAGCCTTTTAGAAAAAGGTGTTTAACTAAAAGCCTTTTTTTTACGTGCATGTGGTAGATTATGTAGACACTGCACAGCCGAAACGCGAGGCTTCGCTTTCACGTTCCTGCTGTGTCCGTGGGACCCCGGGGCCGAGGGCCCGGCCCCCTGCCCGGTGAGGGCGCGGCGGGCGGGGCCGCACCGCCCGCGCTGCTCCCAGGCCGCGGCCCGCGGCCGCTCGGCCGCCCTCACTCCGCGCTCCGCGCCGGGCCGTGCCGCGCCGGGCGATGCCGTGCGGGCAGCCCGACAGCGGGGCCGCCCCGACGCGGTACGTGCTGGGGGTGGATGTGGGCAGCACGGTGGTGAAGTGCCACGTCTACGACCGGGCGGCCACCGTCAGGGGTTCCAGCTACAGGAAGGTGAGTGCGGGCGGGTTGCGGGGCGCGCCCCCGGTGCAGAGCGGGGCCGAGAGGCGAGAGCAGCACTTGTCCCGGGAGCCGGGCGGGGCCGAGCGTGCTTGCACTGCCCCGAGCGGTTCCGACCTGCTGGCCCCCGAGAGGCTGCGGGGCTTGCCCGTCGGGGCTCGGCGTGCAGGCGTTCGCAGAGGCTCTCAGCCAGCTCGGCTGGTCCCGGTGCGCGGGCATCCCCTGAGCCAGGGCGGACAGGAGCGGCTCCGCCTCCCAGGGCTGAAAGGAAACCCACAGCCCCCCACCCCCGCGGGACCGCCCTAGCGCTCACCCCGTTACTTCGGCGCTCACCCACTCCCACCCTTCCTGGTTACCTTACCTTCGGCCGCTTATCGACTAATCTCTGTCTGAACAAAACCACTTCTGTTAGCAGGGCATAGCTGAGATTTGCGTAGGACTTAGGTTTACACGCGTCCCATCATGTAACAGCGCTATGTGGAAAAGTGTCAACTTCAGGACATGAATTTCAGGCTGTTTTTGGTTGGTACCGCTTGTGATTTTAGGATCAAGGCAATCTCCAGAATTAACTTTTTTTTACTGTTACGTATTGCAATGAGAAGCTTGCAGCGAGTAGAAGTGTAAGAAATCTGATGGATTGCGGAGATGGAAGGGGCTGCTCTCAGTGGAGCTCATTCCCTGACGCTGGAAGCTCGTCTGCCAGGTGATCCCTGGCCTGCTGTGCTGCGCTGAGAAGCTCAGAGGCATCGACGTCAGAATTAAGCAATGCAGCAGAAACGGCTTTCTGAGACGCTTTCCTGTTTGCAGCTCTGGAAGGGGTTTTACAGGCTCTTTTATTCCAAGAGGTTTGGACTTCCTTATTTCAAGGGGTTTGAGCTTCTTTATTCCCCCGGAACAGAGGAGGTCTAGAGATCACACAGCCATGTTGAACAATGTTTTTAAAGTTACCCTGATGTTTCTATTCTTGCAGGAGATTCACAAAACGAACAATGAAACAATGCAACCCAAACCCAAACGTATTTGCTGATTTCTAGAGATCATAATAGTGCTATTTGTGTTTCCCTAACAGGTAGAATCACTTTATCCTCATCCTGGATGGGTTGAATTAGATCCTGAAGTTCTATGGAGTCAATTTATTGGTGTAATAAAAGAGGCTGTACAAGGTAAGGGCCTAAATTTTGAGAAATTGTTTATCAAAATTAGTGAAGCTAGTTACTTCGATATTAGAACTACTTTTAGCTAGTACTGAAAATCATCATTGGGCACAAGACTACATGCTTTAAGGCCTATTCAATCATTATGTAAATTAGGGTTCTTCAATTACCTTTTTCCTTTCATTGGGGCCAGATTAGGATTGAAGTAGAAGCAATGTGAATACTTGATATATGCATCAGTGCCAGCACTTTGTGGCTCCAGCTTTTTGTGCATGTATCCTTCCCCAGTGTCTGTTCCTGCAGATGCCTCTGTGCAGGAACAGAGAGCAGGCTTGTTCCCCTTCCCAGTGCCCCATTGTTCTACCACCACTTTGTATGTGCAAGTGAGAATGAGTGCAGGATGCTGCAGAGCTGGGCTCACTCCCTTGCAACCTGATATTCCTCCTTTTCCCATTCAAACTTTAGTGGTTCTTACCATCCTATTCCTGTGTTACTGTTCTTTCCTATTTGTACTTTAGCCTAAAAATTCCTAGTGCTTCACACACTGAATACATACAACTCCCCTTTTCTGATAAACCTCTGATGGGTTTTCCCCCCACTTTTCTGGATGCTGTTCTAACCTAGCTCTTACTCTCTACAACTCTCACAGCTTTCATATTGATCTACCTCTAGTGTTCTGCCATCCGTCCTGGATCACCTGTGCCATGTTGGTGCTGTGAACCTGTCACCTGGACCCCAGCTTGCCTTCCCACAGTGGCCCAGCCTCCTTGGCCTGTGTGTGCACATTGCACTCTTTCATTCAATTCATTCAGTCCCTCCTGTTCAGCCCCTCTTGCTTGGTCTCCAGTGTTGCTCTGCTCTCTTCAAACATGGCTCCTGGCAAAACTGCTTGTCCCTTGCTTTGGAAGACTGCCTAATGAACAGGGAAAGTAAATATCACCAGGTGCAAGCTGAAGCTGATTATTTTGGGCTCTTGGTTTGTTTTGTCAGCAGCCACAACTGTTTGGTCACAAGAATAGTAATGCCACCGCAACCCCCAAAGACCTTACTGTCTTCCTTCATTTCCATTCTGTGGCACAAGTCAGGAAGCAAGTTTTTCAGCTAGTTTTAAAAAGGGAAGATTTCCTTGTGGCCAAGCTGCACACATTGTTGGCAAGTTATTTTTAAGTAGGTGTGTAAGCATAACTCATAGTGCTGTCAAAAGAATCAGTGCCACCCCTTTTCTACAGAGTTTTCCTAGTCTAGGGCAGCTTCCTGAGTGGAATCACTGTCCTGTTGTTTATGCCAGCAGAGCTTCACCAATGTTTGTGCTGACGCAAGAGAGGGTGTGGTGGCAGGGCAGGAATGACTGTCTGGAAGCAGAAGGAGCGCAGTGACGCTTGGGTTTGCAGGGCTTGCAGAGCTAAACGTGATTCCGTGCACGTGTGGATGAGCTGCTGCAGTTCAGTACTACCTAAAGGTGGAAACTTCTGCCTGCATGGTCCCAACTCTCTTACTGTGGCACACAGCTTAACTGAAAAATACCCATGTTTGTCTTTAGAGTTGTTTTTGTCTGTAATGGAAGTTAGCTCCACTTACATGGGTGTCTGGAGAGTATGGTAGCTGACGCAGGGAAAGTGGTGGGACTGTGCAGATTGTGGAGATGGGAAGGAGTAATGCATGCCAGTAGTCCTTAGTGAGCTGTGGAAGTGCTTGAAAGCTGTGGCTTTGCCTGAAAAAGAAATAGTGCTGTTCTCAGGCCACCCACTCCCAGGTCCTCCTCCCGTACGCTCCCGCTACCAGCAGCACTTGTGCAGGCAGGTGGAGCAGGTTGCCTTGCGAAAGCACTGGTTTAATTTTCAGCTGATTGAGGAATTGATAGCACTGCTGGCAGGAATGCAAGGACCCAGTGCAAGGGGAGGTGCAGAAGCACACGTAGAGTTGAGTAGCACAGGATGTGTCCTTTCTCTGTGAAACCCCTCCTGTAATTGTCACTGAGAGGGTGCTGGGTGTAAAGTCTGCAGGACATGCTCACACAAGTGAGCAACTTTGCACGTGAAAATTAACATGAGAACACGTATGAGCAGGACCTGCTTAACCTGTGATTTGTTTAAGGAGCTGGATTGAGAGCCCTTCAGAGTAACAGTACTTAGGACAGGGTGGGTAGTCTGTCATTTAAGTGGAAATTTTTTAATGTGTATTTGCTTAATGTGATTTTGCTTCTGTAAGTATGGCTGGAGGGTAATTAGCAAGCTGACCAGAGCTGCTTTGAAAATAGCTATGGATGTATTTAATTATTTACACTTATGTTAGAAAAAATGTTCTGTAACAGTTATTCGAAGGTAAGGTTTAACAGCAAAATTGATGTATACCCAAATGTACATTTTTGTGCTTCTGACTTTAAAGTATACTTTGTTACATTCAGTGGTACCTGATTTAAGCAAATTCTTTCTTAGGAATTCTGAAACATGGCTTAAGAAATATTTAAAGTGAGACATGTCATTATCAAAGTGATGCCAAAAGTTATGGTATATTCATATTTATCTATTTACTGTCTGCAGGATCAATCTAGTTTTGTTTCTTTATAGAAATTCTTTCCCTAAGTCTGTAAAGGTACTTTTGTTGGTGCTTTTGTTCACATCCATCCATGTGAAATACAAATTTTAATTGATTATGTGGGCCTATGTAATCTGCCTGCTTGTCTCTGGGATTGTTCATATAAAGTATCGACAGGTCTTTCAGAGGGTGGAAAGGGCCCGTGTGCCACAACTGCTTTTGCAAAATATGTAGGTTTGTTTATCTGCTTTGGAATCAGTTGTCTGGCTCAGAGCTCTCTAACATTTCAATGCTCTTAACACTTAGTTGAACGATTTGTAGAGATTTATATTCTCATAAACTGTTATTTTCCAAAGTATTCCATAGGTTTTATAGTTATATTGAGGAAGTAATATTTGCTTCTCCAAATAAATGATTTTTTTGTGATTGTCATTTATTTTCGGTTTTTAGCTGCAGGACTTCACATGAGGCAAATTGCTGGTCTTGGCATCTCCACCCAGAGAGGAACTTTCATTACATGGCACAAGTATGTATGTTGTGTGTTCTTTAAAATGAACTTGTATTAATTTGTATTCATAGGCTGCATGGGAGCAGACTGTAGAAGTGTTCAACTCAGAAGTAAAAATTGTCAAGTCACTCATATTCTCCTGTGTTTGCACAGCCACACCTTAGAGAGTTCAGAAGAGATTGTGAGTTTGTGGCCTTTTTGTTCTTTATAGACTGGAAGAGATGAATACATACGTATTTTTAATTCTGGTGAGAAGTCTGACACTCCAGAGGTCTGTGTGCTGATTTAATAATTCTTCAAATCCACCAGGAGGATATGCAGTTGTTATAGGAACTGACCTAGTGTTTATTGTCCTGATTGGTGTCCTGGAAATGGTGAATAATGTTGAATGTTTTGGGCAATTTATGTTCTCTAGTTTTAATCACTCAAATACTGTTTTTCAGGAGAACAGGGAAACCCTTTCATAATTTCATAAGTTGGCAAGACTTAAGAAGTGCTGAACTTGTGAATTCCTGGAATAACTCCCTTCTGCTGAAGGTAAAACTGCACTAATCTAGATACTGCTCGGATATATTAGAGGTGTTTAACTTTATGACAAGTAAGGGCACTATATGGAATACTGCAAGTGTCCTGTTCACATGGTGATGTGATGTGCTGTGGCCATCATTTTACTGAGCAGTAAACATTTAACTGGGTAATATCCACGGAAGATAGTTCCAAGAAATAAAGTTCAGTACTGGTAGCCTAAAGTAATTATTATGGAAAAAGATGCCTATAGGTCTGAGGCTCATTTTGTTATTTTTCAGTCTGTTATATTAAAACATTGCATGTTAACACCACTACAGCATAGATTGTGGATGTAGGTAGGTCTGGGTTGGAAGTGGTTTGGGCTTTTGGTTTCTTGGCTTGCTTTTTTCATGTATCCTTTGCTCAGATTATCTGTAGGAGGTACATTTTATGCTGTTTGTGGCTTGTGCTTCATGGTTTAGAAGAGAAATATTTTCCTCTAAGTCCAAAAGTTACTTTTCCTCTAAGTGGAAACTGACCAGCACAGTCACAATAAGAAACTAAATTCTTGGGTTTGCCAGTTACTTCTTCTGTGAAAACTTGATTAATGATTAAATTTTGGTAAATCTATTAAGTCATAATTGAGCCTGTGAACAGTAAGAGAACTTCCACTGGAATAACAGTGTGTAGTGCTGTCAGCCACATCAAGCATTGTGCTCACAGCGGTGACCAGTGCTGGCAGTGCAGAGCAGTGGCTCTCAGTGCTCCAGCAGAAGTGCTAAAGCAGCCTTGCTTAGAGCAGCTGCTCTTTCCTGTGGTGTGTGCTGCAGGAAGGCTGTCCTTACATAAACCTGCTCAAGGATCCTCTAAAGGAGTTTAGCTTTCTGAATCGAATGTTAGCAGCTTTCATCTCTGTCGTCATCCTTTAAAGGTAATTGATCAGTAACCTTTAAAGGGCAAGATGAAAAACTAAGTAACTGTTTTCTTTTGGAACAGGTAATCCATGTTATTTTTACAGTGCTTCATTTCTTGACTGGGAATGATCGATATTTGGCACCCAGTTTTCTTACTTTTTCAACACATCAGGCTTCTATGAAGTTGTCATGGGTTTTTAAAAACATACATGAGGTAAGCTGGAAAGGGAAAAGCAGTAGGTTTCTTAAGTCATAATGATGGCTTGTGACTTGGAGGTGTTCAGGGCCAGGCTGGATGGGGCTTTGAGTGACCTGGTTAGGGGGAAGATGTCTCTGCTCATGGCTGTGGAGTTGAAACTCTCTAAGGTCCCTTCCAGTCCAGGCCCTTCCATGACTCTGTGGCTATTGGCTGTAATTGCTTCAGTTTAGTCTTGCTCATTCTTCTCAGAAGAACCAGATTTTTTTTGTGTTAATGTTCAAAGCCTGTCTACCTAAATAGTAACTTATATTTGTACAAATTTTTCCTCTCATTATGGAAAGGCATAGTAGCAAAAAGCTTTCTTCATACATAAGCAACATAATAAAGTCATCTTATTTCACTTGACAAGTTTATACAGTTAGTGATTGTATTTTGTTTTAAAGCTGTTTGTCCTCTGGTTTTGCATGATGATTTAATTTCTTTTCAGTGGAACCTCTTACATTTCTGCTCTGCGTTATGCCAGTGTTTTGCAGTTTCACAAATAATACCATACTGCATCATTCATTTTGCATTTTGTGAATTGGAAAATGTTTGTGGAATAAGTTGTGCTGGATTAATCTAGTGCACGAATGAGCCCTGAGCTATGTGTTGCTGTGTTCATTGCTCTAATACTCACCATGCAAGATCTTGTTTTCTTTATCTACCACTCTTTCACCACTGTTATAATTGTGACTATAAGTTTCTTTTCATAAGGCTATGATGCCCCTACAGTAGAAGATGAATTCCTTAGAAGCAGCTGTAAGAAAGTGTTCTTATTTTCTGTTAGGAGCATGAACTTGTAGGATAATATTAGTTAAATAGCCAGCTCAGCCTTTTTAGAAGAAAAGTTTACAATCAGAGACGTATTTTCTGAGGACATTTTGATTAATCATGAAGAAAATAATAAAAGAATTCAATCAATAAATATTCAGTATTCTTCTCTTATTGTACCCAGTTGTAAATAATTTTTTTTTTCATATATTTTTTCCCAGGCTGAAGAAGCTGCCAAAAAAAACAACTGCTGCTTTGGGACGGTTGACACATGGTTACTGTATAGATTGACTAAAGGTGAACATTACAGTTCCTCTTAAATATCAGTAAAACACACTGGAATCTAAGAAATTATATTCATTACTTCTCATTTATATATCCTAGAATTCAGATACTGTTTTTACAATTTGTGCTTTTGTATATTTGATAAAAATTGTATTTCCTGTTACAAAACGAACTTCTGAATAAATTATTCTTTGGGCCTGCCTAGAAGGGAAATATTTATTCAGTGTAATCAGCCTTCTAAGAGAATAAGATTTAAAGAGGACTAACAGAGCTAATTGGTTTTGATTGAAGAAAAGTACCTGTGAAAGCAAAAGAACAAAGAATTGTTACAAATGTGGAAGAATTGCAAGTTTCAGTCCTGAGGACTAATGCCTGAGGAGTCACATTATGATTGTGGTGCTGTTGGCTGTTCTAGGCAGGTTCATGAGGAAATAGGGTAATTAATGTGTGCACAGTATAGTGAGCAGCAGGTAAAATCTCTGTGCTCATTGTATCATTGTGATTTTGCTCTTACACACTTCATTTATATTTCATGGGAGTCAATGAGATGTTTAAAGAAAACTCTTAAATATTTGAATGTCTAAAAATCTTACTTTGTTCTCTCTTTTCATGCTAGGTTCTGTGTATGCTACAGATTACTCAAATGCCAGTTCCACAGGCATTTTTGAACCTTTTACGGTATGTGCTGTTCCCAAGAATGTTGTTGCTATTTATTGTGCTTCTCAGATGGTTGCTGATGTTTTTCCTTTTTCCATTTGATTTCAGAAATGTTGGAATCCCACTTTGTGCAATCTGCTTTCTATTCCAGTGTCTATTTTTCCACCAGTGAGAGATACAAGGTAACTATGAAGGCATAATTTAAAAAATATTATAACTGTTAAATTAATCGCTAAATTAATTATGATTAATTAAGAAATACTAAATATTCTGCACAGGCCAAATAATACACACGTACACAAAAATATTTTTACATGTAGTTATACCTTGTATTAATAGTATGTGAAGTCCAAAATTTTTTACTGTGTTTCCTAAAGTGATATTTTTAATGTTTTCCTTAAAATAAGTCAGTAGCATTACCTTTTATGTGTGATCCAGACCCAGGCTGTATGTACCTAGATTTCATTTTAACAGAAAGGTCATTTTAATGTGATTTGTTTTAAGCTTCAACTTTGGATCAACTGACTCTGAAATATTTGGGGTACCTATTCCAATAATGGCAGTGGTAAGTGAAAATATTTTCTAAAGTCTGTGTATTTATACTCTGTTTATTTTGCTTTAATTTAGTACTTGCTTCTTTCATTAGTATTCTCTATTGATTCTCTGTGATTTAGCTACAATAGAATTGATTGTTGAATTTTTCTCCAAAAACCCAGTCTGCAACCTTAGGGGGAAGGAGGAGAAAGGAACAAGAAGGGATTTCTAGAGGTTGAGGTCCACTAAGGTTGTGTGCCCAAATGATTAAGTACTGAATGTAGGACTCTAAGCTCTGGTAATGTGTGTGTCTGGCTTAAAATCAGTTGTTCTCTATAAAGTTATGCACAAGTCCTTTCTGGCTTGACTTCAGTGAGACCAAACAACTCTAAGAGTATTTGTTAATAGATCCACTTGTGGTACCTTTTATCCCTTTTTTATTTTTCACTAAAAACAAGTGGCAAATAACATGTTCTTTCCTCAGCAGTTAGAATTTGGATAAGAAAACCTAAAGTGATGATTTGGAGCAAAATCTTCTTGAATTGAGCTAAATGAAAAAACTGTCCCCTAGCTAACATGAATGTGTCTTGTTTTAAAGAGCTGTGGACTAAATCTAGCTGTAAATTTACTGTTTCACCAATGCAAAAACATAAGTAAATACATTTAATAACCATAATCATGGTTGAAAAATGGAGTGTGGAATAATTTGGTACAGGAGGGGTATCAAGGAAAAAGGAAGGCAAGACTTCAAAACTTCAGCTTTCTATTTGGAGAAAAAGGAATTCAGGCCAAGCTACTCTGTTCTGCTTCCTGGGATTGTAAATGCCTCATTTATCCTTGTTAAATATTAAACCCCAAAACACTTCTTTTGTTTCCATAATGTTTTTCAGTGTTGCAAGGAGTCCTACAGATACTTCACACTGTGAAACTTGGTGTAATTTGATGCCAGTGATAAGTCTGACTGTTATAATGGCCTGCAAATGCTTAAGAAATTGTAAAGAGTCCTCTCTGAATGCTCAGTTCCTGAGTGGTTACTTGTATTCAGAACTCCAAGTGTTTACAGAGATATTTTCAAACCCAGTATTTCAGGTTGGTAGGCGGTAGCTAACTTGTCCCATTGTTTTTGTTGGATTGACAGGTAGCTGATCAACAGTCAGCTATGTTTGGAGAATGCTGCTTTCACCCAGGAGATGTTAAACTGACCATGGGAACAGGTGGTTTCTGGAATGTGAATACTGGAGAGCATCTCTTTGCATCACGGGGAAGTAAGACAGTGAAGTTTTGGTTTTAGGGGATTTTATTCTTTCAGCTGTTCCTTGATAGCCGTTACTGCTGAGGGTACACAAAAGAATAGATCAGGGCTGTGCTTTTCCTTCTGTCTGTAAGTGTAGAAAAACAGCTTGGGAGCTCTTTCAGAAGAGAAGACTGTGGAAAATTTTAATTAGCAATGTAAATTTTGGTTATTCAAAAACAAGCTTCTCAGGAAGAGAACTTAAGTAGCATCGTTAGTAATTATATCTGCTATCTGCATCCCTCCTGTTTTGTTTTTTCCTTCACCTGTTCTTCATTGCAGTATTGTACAGGATAGGAGAAAAAAGGGATTGGTCCTCTGGCTTCTCACATCAAAATGTTGCAGTGAATCATTGCAAGTTCCTCCCCTTGAGCCCTTAAGCACTGAAGAACATGCAATGAGATAATGCAGGATTATAAGTTTTCTTTTAAAATGGGCTCCCCAGTGTGTTTCTAGTGTTTAAAACTTTGTCATTCTGAACATGTGTGGTCTGTCAAGTAATTTGTCAGATAGCTATTTGTCAAGAGAGCAAACACTGAAGATGACACTGAAGTAAATTTGCCTACAGTCTCTCTCTGTCTGGCATATTTTTGAAGTGTTACTAATTTCAGGATGTCTACTGCTTAAAGTGGAGTGGGGCTGGGAGGGAGGACAGCAGTGTGACAAAGAGAATTTTACCAGCTCAAGTCTTGAAGGACCTTAGCCAATACATGAGTTTTGTCGGAGCTGAGTAGCATAGACATTGAATTCCCTATGAATGCAAATGCTTTTTGTGCTGATTAATTATGTCATTATTATGATATTTTTACTTAGGAAATAATACATATATAGTCTGTTAAAATGTTAGCTATTGTATTCTGCTAGGAATTAAAATCTTCTAAGGCAATGCTGTGAAACTTGTACTGCTTTGGGCTGTTACTTTTGTTAAAATTATTTTCCCTGTGTTCTTTGGCTGTTGTGGGGTATGGTTAGTGGGGTAAGTTAAGTGCCTGGCTTTCTCAGTGCCCTGGGCATGAAATGTAATGTGTTCAATCTTTAAAGCTGACATATGTATTTAAGACTGCAGGATGAATCCCTGCAGCATCCTGTTCTAGTTGCTGGTCTACATTTAGCTCCTACATATAACAGTTTGAAAAAAAAAGAAGAATAAAGTAGCTCCTTCAAGAGCAGCCTGTCTCACAATTCAATGATGGAATCATGTTGTATAGGTTTAAAGCTACCCCTGGTAGTCTGAGGGTTCTTAATACCTCTGGTCATGGCAAGTGTCATGGGGATCCCTTCCCTAGAGGTAGGATTATGTTACCCTGCTAGAGACTCTGGTGTGAGCATCTTTAGGGAGGCCACGTGATGGATGGATGTCTCTGTCCCTCATTAGCTGCTCTTCTTTAGGATCTTTGGCTCAATTAATTTTTTTTGTTTTTTTTTAATTTGTGGCTCTACCTTTGGTAAAAAAATAAAGATTTCAAGGGACACCTGCACCAGGATGATCTCGAGTTATATATATTACATTGCCCTTTCAAGAGACAAATACAGACTTTAATCAGTGCTGCTAATTGTTTTATATTGTAAGCACCTGAGTGCCCCAGTGCTAACACAAGTTCCTGCTATTGCACTGGTACTCCCACACAACTCATTTGGACACAGGCAAGCAAACTGGAGATGATTCTGTGAGGAACAAATATATCAGCAAAGTCACTTTGAGAAAGCAGAGAAAACCTTTAGATCCTTCTGATGCTTTTCTGGTCCTTGTAAAGGCACACTGGGACTCGTTTCCCTTTGTTGCAGTACCCATGATCTCTGAGTCCTCAGCAGGGCTCCATAAAGTACGGGCACTTTCGTCACTCCAACAGTTACTGTGCCTGATTGGGTGAAGTTGTTGCAGTGACCACTGACTGCTTGGGTCCTTATCTTGTGACCTGAAAAGCCATTTCTCTAGCTGAAGTGCAGGTGAAACTTGCTCTCTTTTTTGCTTTCTGTGTGAGGAAGCATTGCATATTAAACAGGAAATTAAAAAGTACATCACTTTCATCCTCTTCTGTGAATAAGTTCTGTGCTCTAAGTTTCTGTTACTTTTTTTGTGTGTATGTCTGTTTCAGTTTTGTGTTTCCCATCTGAGAGCCAAGCCTTCATGCTTTATGTTTTGGGGAAAAACTCTCTTCCTTTTTAGAAACCCTTGGGAAAAGTTGGATGGACTTAAATAGAAAAACAATTATAAATTGTTAGGTATGCACAATTTCTTATATTAAAAAAAAAAAAAACACATTTAACCTCTACCAGTGATTTCTTTAGTTTGAATTCTACAAAGAAATTGACATTTTCCGGGTGGGTTTATTGTGAGGAATGGTTGTCTATGTTTTTCTGGAAAGGTTTATTTTAACTGAATGTTTTGTTTCCTGGAAAATAATGAAGGTCTTTATCCTCTGATCGGTTGGAAAATTGGGGAAGAAGTTGTTTATTTAACTGAAGGTTCTATATCAGACGTCGGCACTGCCATAAAATGGGCTCTGGATATAGGTAACTTCTGTCATTTTATAGAGGGTGAAATAAAGAGGCTGTTCTGTGGGTTCATAGTTGTGTTACTGGACTTGATTTTATTATTCATAATTGAGGGAAGTAATCTTCATGCTTTGGACAGCAGAAGTGCACAGTTATTTTAGTAGGCACTTTGCTGAGGGTGTTTGCTGCAGGGAGTTTGGTTTGCACAATCATCTCCTCTTCAGTCTCTGCCTCAGACCATCCTGCCTAACTAGGCTTTTGTTTTCCTGTAACATTTTACTTCTCATTTGCTTGTGAGAGGTCTTGAGCTGTACATCTCATAACTAATAACAAGTTTGATTTATATGAAAATAACATAAAGAGCTTTGCAAGTAACTGTTGCTTCACATGGATGTAATGTGCCTTTTGGTTGTTGTTATTTTGTAATGAAAGGTTTGGCATTCCAGTTTAATGACAGACTAAAAAAATACTACCTTTGTAGTAGCTGATGTTTAAACCTACTGATTGTTCATAGAACAACTGTTCTCAGTACTCTAATTAGAATGTCAAAATTTACTTGTCTTACTTAGAAATATATTACATTTTTTACTAGGATGAGAAAAAAAAGTGATTAATGTCTCAAACTTTGGACTGTCTGGGAAGGGTTTTCCTCAAGTGTAACTCACACAAAATTCCACATTCCTTGAAGCTGTCAGCTTTAGATGCATGTGTACATGTATGTGCCCCTAAGGGTTAAGTGTGACTCAGATTGGTCCTCACATCTTCCTCCAACGTTTGACTAAGCCTAGAGAGTAACAGCCACTAGGCTTTGGAGGAAATTACTCAGTTCAGTACACAGTTCAATGCTGCAGACTCAAGTGTCAGTGCTACATAGATAAGCTTGCTACTTCAGATTCCATAATTAAAATGGGTAATTATCCATATTGAACTTATCTGTACTTAAAATGGATATCATTGGTTTATGCAGATTATAAAGGATTATATTATAAAGGATTTTTTATTATATAGGATTTTTAGCTAGTCAGTAGTAAAATGATCAGTTGCTACCATCGGAAAAAAAGGGGGGGAAGATTTAGAGATGGGATAAATAAAAGGCAAGCTGCTTTAAACTCTGTAACAAGTAAGGCCTTTATTTTCTGAAAATATTGTTGCAGAGAAGCAGAATTCAGAAACTTTTATCAGCTTTAGAGAATGGAAAAACTTTAGCTCTACAGAAGGAATTGGGCCAAAACACAAGGTAAGCTAATGGCCTCAATAAGGGTGGTGAGGCCCAACAGGGATGAAGATGAGACACAATAGTGGTAAAAGTTTAGAAATAGTAATTTCTGCAGCAAGGCAAACTTAGTTTAGTGGACTTCTTTTAGTGGAATCCTATAACTTCTAAGAATTTTTAAGAAGTAGTAGTATGTGGAATTTCAGCATGACATCAGTCTTAGTTAATTTTTGATTTTCTGTGCTGGCATAGAGGTAATATACGTATAATTCAGTCATAGCAAAGACAACAAGAAGGGAAAAACATGATGTAGGTTTATTAGTCTGAGCACAGTAGAATCCATGGTTTTCCCACAAACTCATAAAGGTTACAATGGTAAATTGAAACTCCTGCTAAGTTATCAAGGTGGGTTTTTCAAAGGTAAGTTGAGCTATATTAAACTAATTTACCTTTAATAGGAAAATTCACTTTTTTGACAAGAAAAAGCAGTATCTCTCATATACAGAAGACCTCTAGTCTTCTGTAAAATCAATTTATGTGGCCACATAAGGACATCATTAATTAACAACTGTGGAAGAGGGATGTTAGTACAAGAGTTTGATGTGGGTGAAGAACAAACTAAAGAGGAATGTCTGTAGAGTTATGAAAGGAGTCATCTGGCTGAGAATAAAACAGAGAATAAATGCAGTGTCTATCCAAGAGGCATTATTGTGTAAGAGGTGATGTATTACCTTATGTGTCACTTGTAAAAATACTAAGAGTGCTGATAAAACGTGGGTATTAAGGAATTTCTCTGTAGTTGTTAGGTGACAGTAAGTTAGTTAGGTCATTGTTGGACTGACAGTAACAACATGGAGGAAAAATACGTTCTATGAATCTAAGGTTGTAGCACTCTTAGGTGCCATTATCATTCTTAATTCCCATTGATGTCTTGAAGATTAAAAGGCTACAGCACAGCAGATAGGAGAGGATCCTTTTGAGTTTAGCCTTCATCTGAATAGTTTGGGATTATTGATGTGACCGGTGGACATGAAATACAGGAGAAGAGATTGTCTCCCTTAGAACATGTAGTTTGAAAATATTAAAAAATGAGTAGTCTGGAGTAGTCTGAGATGCTTTTCTTGTAATGAGACAAAATGAAGAAACTGAAGGAAATAATAACATCCTACAACCTGTGTATCTTTACAGAACTTTTCACCAATGTAGATGAAACAGCAGAAATGGCACAGAATGCTGCTGATTCTCAAGGTGTTTGTTTCATCCCAGGTTTGCAGGTAAAAATATTATTAATTAAATCAAGATTATATTTTAATAACCCAATTAAAAATAATTTTGACATTTTCAAAGGTAATCATTTACATCTTATCACAGTATTTATTCTGTACTGTTGAGGTTCTTATTGTCTGTTGCTCATCACAATACATGAAGGCCATTGTCATATCAGAATGGTTAAATGCCATTGCTCCCCTTGTTAGAGAACAGCAATATCAGTAACATGAGTGTGCCCTGTCCTAGACAATTGGTGTACATTTTAAAGGTGTTTTAAAGGGATATCATGTGGATTAGTCTTTTTTAGTTTTTCTGATTTGGAAGAAGTCACTTAAATGTTTTGCTGTTGAAAGAAACAATTTAAACTGTTTGCTGAGTAAGCTAAAATAACACTATATACCTCTTACATATTGTTCTCAATTTTCTTCTTTCACTATGCTGCCTGTAATTGTCGTAAGTTATTTTTTCTTACTCTTTTACTTCTTTCACAAAAGCCTACAAATATTATTCACTGAACTCATGGTGACATCTTTTCTGCAGATTTCTGGGGATGACCCATATTTATGTGCCTCTTTCATGGGGCTGAAACCTTCCACTAACAGAAGCCACCTTGTTCGAGCTATATTGGAGTCTGTAGCTTTCAGGTACTGCTTGCTAAATTAACTGGCTTTTATTTTCTCATGGTTTTTTTTTATTTAGATTGGCGGTGTTAAATGGATACATGGACTTTTGCAGTTTGTACAATACACTGCTGTTGCACTGGAAAGGAGTTTTAGCTGCTTCCTTTTTTTTTAACACTTTACAAATAAATTTGTATATATTTGTTAGTTCAGATTTTTTATCATTAAGTAACCATATAGAGATTCTTAAATAATGTTGTTTTCTGCATGTTTTGAAAGTATTTTCTCTTTGTCCTTCCTCTCCTGACACTGTTTTGTCAGAAACTGTGGTCCTCTCCAGCTGTGTTTAAAGTATCCTTGAAGCTGAAAGTTTTATATCAGCTTTTGTTTAAGTTTGAATTTTTGGTGTTTTATAAAACAAAGTAACAGCCCTCTTAAAAGTTTTAAAAGATGTGAATGGACAGCAGCTTCCCGATCTGTGAAGGCTAAAGATGTCACTGCTGATACCACATCAGTATGTCACTGCTTTGCCAGCCCCCAACATGCCTCAAACTGTGGGGCTGATCATGAATTGTGCCTGGCTCACACTGTGCTTGACCAGTTAGGGAGCACTGATGTGATTCCTTCCTTGTAGGCAACAGCTTTGCTTTTGATGCCTTAGAGGCATCAGTTTGGGCATATAAATTTCCTGCAAAGAGCTCAGAAAAGATGTCTGGAGCAGGGCAGCACTACTGCAATTGGCTTCTAAGGCATGTCCTTCTGCACTGTAAGCCTGAACATAAGATGCAGTAATTTCTGAACTGACATATGGGTGTCTTGAAAAGGATGTTAAGGGATGTTAAGAATTCATCCATCTCATTCAAATACTGCATACAAATAGCTAGAAAAAAGTAGAGATTCTTTGTGTTTAGATTTTCTCCCATTAAATGAAATGGTTTCTAGAAAAAGTCAAACTTGAAGGCTTCAGATATTCCCCTTACAGAATAGCTGGATAAACTCCAGTTAGCACTGTTGGCCTGCTTTCCTCACTCAAAGCCACTTGTTACATCAACAATTACATCTCTAGAAACCTATCAGTAACTTACAGTGGGAAAAATTAACCTTCTACAGAGACTTGATATAGAATGGGCCATGATTTAGCCATACTTTGCCTTTGTAACAGTGACAAAGACCAAACATCAGTTTCAGTGGGTTTGGGTTGTTCATTTATACATTCTAGAAACTTTTTAGATAGTGCAGCAGTTCTAACAGAACTGAGGCCTTTCTTGCCTTGCATTTATTTTCTGACTAAGTAGATACTGAAAACACTCTATGGAATATATGATGCTTAATTCCACTGAATATTTTTTAAAGAAACAAGCTGCTTTATGATGTCATTGTGAAGAAGGTGCACATTCCTCTTCGAACTATTCGGTAAGTTCCCTGTAACTTTTAAATTCAATACATGAGAGTTTGATTTTAAACAGGTTTGAGCTTTACTATGCATTTTCTCTTACTGTAAAAATTCTGCTGTTTAGAAGCAGATGATTTCCAAGTCAAATGTTAATGGAACTGAAGCAGCAGTAGAGTCTACCCACAGCTATTGGCATTGGTGGTTGTTAGTGGGGGAGTAATGAGCTGCTCTAATTATTAAAAATTAAAAAGAAGGCATATTCATGTTTTCAGGTAGTGCTAGAGTGCATATAGCAATGCCTACCACAAAACTTATTCTACCTTTTGTCATCATTCTTTCATACTGACATTTTCTGTGCTAGGTCTTTCACAGATAATTTTTTGAAGACATTGGTAAAAACTGGTTCTGTTTGTGAGGGAAAGAGGGAGATGAGTTTTAGATATCAGTTTTGCTTTAATCTTTGAAGAACCATATCCAATTTAGTGAGGCAACTGTAATCCCTAGAATGTGCTTGTACAAAATTTAGCTGAATTAAACATTGCTGGAAGACCACATTTCACGTTTTGGTAGGGACCTTCTCTGAGCACGCCAGTTGTCAGAAGCTCCAGGCCTCTGAGGCTCAGAAAGCTCTGACATGAAATTCCTCCCTCGGGCAGCCAGGGGTCAGCATGGCACTGCAGTCAGGAGCAGAGGTGAGCATTCCCATCCCTCCTGGACCTCTGCAGAGGAGGAACAGACTGGCAGGCATGTCAGAATCAGACTCTCAGTGGGAAAAAAAGCAAGAGTACAGAAGTGGGAGGAGGTAAAATTTCTGCTTTCCATCACATATTGGGAGAGAGCAGGCAAAGGTGAAGTAACAGCCAGGGTTAGGGGTTTAATAAAAAGATGAAAAGTACCAGAACTTTGATTACTTAGGAAGCTTTTTAATATAGAGAATTGCATCCAAAATTTGAAAAGTCACTTAAAAGAGTAAACTCTTAAACTCTTAAAATGTGGCCTAGGGAGCATTACAATTCTGATTCCATTTACATTGCAATATAAACCTTAAATTGTATGATCATGTTATTTTTTATTCATGCATATAAAATTGCAGTTTATATGGTGTCTGTATTACTTAACTAAAATCAGTAGCAATTCAGCTTGTGGATTAAAAATTAAAACATAATGAGACACACTCAGTGAGGTTCTCAGTAGGGTTTCAAACTGCTCTACCACCCTTACATCCACACATCTTTTGCATCTGTCAATTACCTTTGGTTTTTTGTTGTTGTTTTTATCCCATAAACTTACTCCTTTCTTTTTTAGCTGTTGTCCTGTATTCCTTGTTCCTTCCTAGTTTCTGGGCATTGTTTTCATTACTCCTCTTTGCTTGTCTCAAGAAAGAGCCCTCAGCTTTAGTCCGCATGTCCTATAACGAATGAGTTTTATTACCTAACACTTTCTGTAGCAATAAACACTAGAGGTCTTCTCTGCACCACATCTGATAGAACATCAGCTCCATACATGGCTGGTATTGGAGTACAAGGGCACAGTGAACCTATCTAGGACATTTCAAAGATGGCTTTTTGTTAGAGTTATTTTGTTTGCAAGAGTAGTTACTTCGAAATCTCAGATGATTAAAGATCACGGATAAGTTCTTGTATTCTCCATTAAATTGGTCTCAAATTAGGAAAATAGACATATGGAAGCCTCATTCTGAACTTCCTCTTAAAAAAGCAATTGTGAAGGCATTTTAGCTAATTAATACAAAGATTTGGTATTAAGGAAAATGGTACTTTTCCAGATCTGAGAACACGTGAAAGGGTTTGTTTGGTGTAAGGTTTTGACTGTTTTCATAATGTGGTGGTAACTGTGTAAAAGTTCTGGTGTAAACTCTAATATTTCAGCCAAGATGATGCATAGATTTAAAAGAAAGAACTTTCAGAGCTTTTGATAGAGTCCTGTGTCCCTGTTTTCCTACCATTCCTCTACAAGTTTATAAACTTATTTCTTCCTTTTTTTTTTTTTGGCACCTTGTTCAATATCCTCTAAATTTACCCATAAAGTGGAAATGCATTTGTTCATGAGTGACAAGAAGATTTATGCATAAGTGTGAAATACCAAACGTTGTTTTCTGAAATGCTGGCAATAAGCACTTAACACATTTTTTTGACTACTTCTTTCCTTCTCCCTATAGAGCTGATGGAGGTGTCAGTAATAATAGTTTTGTCATGCAGATGACATCAGATTTAACTAATAAGAAAATAGAAAAACCTGCAAATGTGGAAATGTCTACTCTTGGTGCAGCTTTTCTAGCAGGCCTTGCTTCAGGTACGTAGACATTAAAAAGGCTTTTTTTCCCCCCTTTATAGTGCACGTTGTAAATACAATAGAAAAGAGATCAGACAAAAAAGGGCATAACTTCAAATAACCCCCCCCCCCACAACGGATTACTTTAGCTATTTTTGTGGGAATCTAAATAGTGTTTATGTTTCTCTGAACAGTACCATTAGAAGGATGTATTACTAGAGAAGAAAGGTGAGCCCTATCTTTGCTGCCTCCTCTTCTTTGACTCAGACTTTCCATGTCCATTCCCATATTGGTGCTGCCTGAGTGCTGCTGGCTGGGGATGGACCATGTGGCCAGGGAGCCACTGTGCTCACCTGCAGCTCTGTCACTCCCACTGAGGCTGTGTCCTGTGCTCTGTGAACACAGCCTTTATCCTTTGAGGCTTTCACAGGAATGGAAGTGCAGAATTAATTATTAACAGGAAAAACAGCTCTACTCACACAGAATTGTTTCATATTCTTAACCAGACTGAAAGCTCCAAACTGTTGATGGTTTTGCTTAATATGCTCCTACAATACATGTTTTTGTTGAAGTGCTTTGAACGCAAATGAAGGTAAAAACTATATGCTTGGGTAAGACTTATTCAGCAGTTAAAAGTGCAAGAAGGTTGAGACCCTTGATAGACAAGAATGATTTAATAACATAAATTGATAGGAATCTGTAACACCAGCTGTTTCTTGCTATTGATACAGTTTTTAAGACAGTAGGAAAGCAGCTAAGTCTTGGTTTCTGTGGCCCTTCTTTGTTGAGAAGGACCTGCAACCAAAAGCACTTTGTGATGAAACCTAAGAGAACTTCAGTGTACCAGAGCTGTTCCTTGGAAACCATCCCAGTTAAGCAGATGCGCTGTTGTCAGGATTCCAAACAAGTGGATCCTACTGGAAAGGATTTTCACAATATTAAAAATATGCTTCCCTCTGAGAAAATTGCTGGTAGAGTAAAAAGAAAAGCTGTCATTATTTCTTACTGTGTTTCTGCTTTGGATCTCTTGGAAATAGATTAAAACAACTCAAAAATAACATATTTGCAGTTGAGCTGGAGAATGAATTTTCTGTTTATAGGATTTTGGAAAGACAAAAAACAACTAAAGAAGCTGAGGCAAATAGAAGCAGTGTTTGAGCCCCAAAAGGATTCAGAGGAATACAGACCTGCTATGGATGCATGGCTGCAAGCAATGAAACACTCACCACACTGGTAGAAATTGGTATTTTAATTTTAGAAGAATTAAGACGGTTTAATTCATATTTTATAACATCTTGACATTAACAGGACAGTAAAAAACCATAACTGAAATTTGTGACGGTGTATTATAAGTTGTGTGGTATTTCAGTTCCCCCCTGCTGCTGGATTACTTACCATGGTGTAATGAACCTTCCCATCATCCCTGTGGCAGCTGTGGTCCAGCTGCAGCATTTGTGTCCCTTCAGTGACCTCCTTTGGTGGCCAAGCTGCTCAAATCCTGCCATGTGCTGCCCATGGGCTGTGCTCACTGTGATGGGTTTTGCACTGAGCAGCTCGCCTCCCTTTGGATCTTTAAAATCTTGCATATGTTAATCATCCAGGAAGGGTAAAAGGCACATTTGCTCCCCTAGGCCTTGCTAAGAAACAAAATGATTGTTGGGGCTGGGTTGTGAGGAATTCAGTTGTGTAGAAAGACATTGTTTTGGTAGTAGCCTGTCGCCACCTTTTGGTTGACACCGGGCGCTGTGGTCGCATTATTTGTGCACTAGATCAAGATGAAATACACAAGCAAATAGACTTTTAACACTCCATTTAAAAATCCAGGGTTTTTGTAGCTGATACATTGTAGCTAGCTTGTAGCTCAATTTTTAAAAATTTTATAAAGCAATCTTATCTGGAGTGACCAGCACAGATACATTAAAACTAGTTCCAGGTATGCTGTCTAACTTGTAAATATCTGTACTGTTAGTATCTTCAAGGCCATTTTTAAATCCTATTACTATTAACTAAAAGGGAGTAAAAAGTCTATTTTTGAAGCTATAAATTACTTTTGTATTTTTTAAACAAATAAAATATAATTAAATAAACATGTAGTTAATTATTCTTATATAATTGCTTATTTCTAATGTTAAATTATTGTAATTTTCTCAGGATTATGTGTAAATCAGCTTCCAAAATGTAAAATGATTAAACATTTTAATTTCAGAATAATATCAAGTTCAAGCTGTGGGTGATTTGTATTCCATAGACACTGGAGATAAGAAATGTTCACAGACTTAACATCATTTAAAGAGGGCTGAAGAACTATAATTCATTTTCTTGTGCTGATACACAGAAGGTCAAATCATACACCATGTCCTTAATTTCCTTCAATCATGTACCCTGAGTTGGAGCATCTCTACTAGCTGTGTTCAGCCTCCATCTCATTTACTTGTCAGCCTATGCTTAATGTGCCATTTTTCGTGTTACATTCTGCCCTTCAACCTGTGCTACATCTTGGCAATTTTATTTTCTCTGGGTATCTTTCCAATTCTCCTTAACCTTCTTTAATGTGAATCCTTAAATGAAGTGCAGAAGCAAGTGTGTCTGCTGATTTCTAGTAATATGCCAGGCTGTAGTGCCAAGACTCCAGTATGAAGTGCCTCAAAGAGGTTCCCTCCACTCCTCCTCCCGCTGTCAGGTAAGATTCTGCAGTTACTGCATATCTCAAACAATTGCTTTGCTTTAACACCTGTGTATTCAGCTTGGGATTTTCCTCTGTCATCACAAAGTCACTGCTAAAGAAAATGCTCATTTGCAAGAAGGTTCTCTCTCCAAGGCCAAGCAGAAAGGCTTTAAGTCTGGCACTCTGGGCAGAAGTTTGGGCCTCAGTCACAATTCTACATTTTGTTCTCACTGAGGGAGTTTAGTTTCATCAACATCTGCCTCTCATCACCAATAGCCCTTTTGCTGAAGGCTCCTTGACTCAGGTTGACAGCCTGGAGGTTTAGCTGGGCTGAGCAGGCAGTGTTGCTGCCAGGAGCTGAACCTGATTCTGTTCAAATCACTCTGCTGAAGGCAACGCTACACCATGTGCCTGATACTTCACCTGCATGTGGTGGTGGTTTTCACCCTGGCAATGGCACAGCTAGAGAGAGAAGATAGATACCCAAGACATTATATATTCCTTTTGGTCCAGATGGTATCGTGGAGGACACACTCTGGATAACCATTTTACCACTGCCACTGTTTAATTTGAAGCAGGAATTTAAGCTGTTTTCCTTTCACTAGCCTCAGATCTATAGGAGAGAAACTTTGCTGCAAATTAAGGATGTGGGAAGGCCTTGGTATATTTACCAGTTGAACCTTTCAAATGGCCTGCAGAGCTGTGAGCTCTGTTGTGGAGAGGTTCAAAGTACTGAGCTCTGAAACAAAAGAGGGGTGTCTGAAAGTCTGCCAGGATGGACCAGCCTTTGGAGATCAGAACATTTGCCATAGCTTGTGACATGAAATTGCCCAAGGACTGAGCAGACTAACTGATATTTTGAAGAAATATGATTACTGATCAAAGCCTCTTTTGCTTATCTTTTACCAAAAAATTGATTTTATCTTCCCATGAAATCTTTAATGTGATGTTAGCTGAAAGTGGTACCTGTTAATTGATAATGGATTTGAAATAAGCTTTAGATATATTTTTACAGGTGCTGTGCTGTCCCAATATTTGCTGCAAAGAAGGGCATTAAGACCATTTTAGAACCTCACTCACAGTAACTTTTATTTAAAATATGACAGCTTTTACTGCTTTGTGTTTAATTTTTTTGTCTCAAGTGTTTTCATTAGTTTGGAAAGTATATGCTATTTTACATTTTCTGTCAGCTGAGTTTGATAGTAAAGGTAACAATACAAAATAACCAGTATTAACTAGTTTGCAGTTTCGTCATTTTAAGATATTCAGTTGAGCTTTAATGTTGTATTTGGGATTGGACAGCAGTGCAGCTCATTGGCATGTGAAGATTGGCAATTCAGTTGAGATGTGTTAATGACCTCTGGGCATTCTGCCTTCACAGATCCCACCGTGCTGATAGTAGATAACCTCATATCAGTTTGGCAGTTGGATCATTCATAACATAGTCCTAGTAAATATGTGGGGACTATGTGGCATGAAAAATTATGCCTCGTAACAACAACAATCCCTCTATTGTTGGAGGAGTCTTGCTACTTTTACATTAATTGTATATCGAGAGAAAGGGCAGATGAAAAAGTCTTCAGATAGTTGAAAATACTGAGCAGCTGTATGAATTTTGTTACATAGCTAAAATAAAAATCAAGTCAGCCGTGTTAAAAAGCTTACTGTAATGAACTTGACCAAGATTTTTGAGTACTGTTTTCTTTTAAGCAGTATTTTCTGCTCTATTCTAACAGCGAATTTTATGTAAAATTAGTTCAGTTGCTCTCATTTGTTTTTAACAAGAGCATTTAGACTCTCTTTCCTGTCAGGAGAAAATAAAAAAAGCAAAATACTGAGTTACTGAAAGCCTACTACCTTCTCTGTAGCAAGATCTTTCAACTAGTCCTGCTATTTCCAGGATCAGGGCACAGCACAAGAGGCTCACCAGAGGAAGAGAAAGAGGTAAGAACCATTTCCTGCCAGTCGGTGCGGTTGAGTTACTGGTCTGAGCTGAAGAGTACAAAGGTGTGAGCCCCTCGTGAAACAGAGGTGTGACAGTCCTGCAGGGGAGTCAGGGAATATGGCAGTGCTCTGACCCAGAAGCTGGGCAGTGTGTTAGTTTAGGCTTTGTGGGGAGTCGGGGCAGGTTGAGCAGGAGAAAAGGGATGGTGGTGGAGGGGGAGCCTGTTTTGGGTTAATGTTTGTGCAGGTTATCACAGCAAGAGCTGTGGGCTGGCAGGAAAGCAGTAAAACTGGCAAATACTGAAAAGTGATGTACTGTGAAAGGGAGAAGAGGTGGCATCCAGGAGGGATCTGACTGGCCAGGGGGAGCAAGGTGGTGTTCTAGGGCTGGGACACCGGACAGGTTCTGGAGGGAGACATGAGAGCTTCCTGCCAGGCAGGTGTAGCTGCTCAACACACACCTTAGCATGTCTAAAAAACCTAATTCTAAGGGGTTTTTTTCAATGCAGCCTTCATTCTGGGGTAAAAATTGGGATTTGTGCAAGTTCTAAAAGACCGTGTATTGGTTTAGAATGTTACATAAGTAGCATACTTACACTCATGCAAGTTGGTCATTGTTTCACCACCTTCAAACTCAACTCTGTGTGTATATATATGTATAGATGTGTGTATGTAGAGTTAGTCTGCAATTTGCTGTTGAAAGCAAATGCAAACTACAGCAGTGACCTTCCTTCTGTTTCTCTCCTTGGGGGTTAAAATGGCTATTTTTCATGTTCATAATCAGTTCCAGTATCTGACTTCAACTTCTGATCAGTGTTTCCTGCAAAGAAGTAAATAAACCAATGAACCAAAAAGAGATCTGTGAAGCCCAAGTGTCTTTATTGAGGCTGGGTTCAAGTATTTGTTTAGCTGTGGTGACTAATAATAGTGCAGTAAACCAGCCAACCTGGTTGCTTCTGGTTTGCTTCCTTTTGAAGGTAGTGTGTGCCTTCTGCACTTCTGTCAGGGCGTGTGTCATATTAGTGGTTGTGGTTGTACCTGGTAGAGGGGGCTCCAAGAGAATACACAACAGTTTGCATATTTCTATTGCTTTTGTGAATTTATCTTGCATAACACTGCCAATATTGATAAAAGGTCTTGTTACATGGTATGGAAGTTTTTATAGAGGATTAAGAGAAACTAAAGCCACAATCTGCAAATTCCTAGGCACTTCAAGATTTTCAGTTGTAAACTGCCCCATTGAAATAAATATAAAGGCCTTGTTTGCTAATATTCCTTAGATTGACGTTTAAGAACTGTATTGGCTGAACACCTGGGTTTTTGATGTGACTTCCCTTTTTAGTGAAGGGGACGGCATCAAAAATATGTCTTTCTAGAGCATTTAATGTTTTCTGTAATGCAAGAAAAACAGAAGTTTACCATGTTTGCTCTAGAATATGTATGATCTGCAGGGATCTAAAGCACATAAATAGTGTTTGTGTCCCCATAAACCTTGTTTTGCTCAGCTTGCTCAGTGCATTAAGCTGCGTTTGTGTTAGAGAAATATGCAGAATGGGTAACTGCACGCCTTGGATGTGTGCCTGGCCGCCCTCCAGAAAGACTTAACAAATGTTGCATCCTTGCGCTGAATGGAACTAGTGCCGAATTTATTTTTTCCTCCCAGAAGTGCTTTCTATTTATACGGTCTCTGTAAGAATACGTAACCCTGCTTCGTTGAAACAGGTTTTTTTCCAGCGGTAAGGAAATGTTGAAATCAAACACTTCTTCAGGCTGTTCCGGGGCGCCGAGCTGGGCCTGGGCTGTTGCGGCTGCGGGCCGCGTCCCGGCTCTCTCGGGGCGGAGGTGCGAGGGCGCGGCCGCTGCTCCCCGGCCCCGCCGCCGCTTTGTTGGCCCGGGAGCCTTTGTTCGGAGGGGGAGGACAGAGCTAGAGCCGGGCCCGGTGCACAGGCGGCCCTGGCCCCGTTCTGCCGCCGGGGCCGGACGTTCCTGCAGCGCCCGCGGCGCCGAGCCCGCGGCGGGGCTGAACTTTGCATCCCGGGACGCAGCCCCACCAGCTCCTCGCAGATAAGCGGCACGGCCGGCGGCCGCAGCCAGCGCGGCGCCGCGCGCTGTGTGTAAATACAGCCTATATACATTTATGCATTTGTGTATTTATACACTTCGTACCGCCCGCAGCACCTGGGCGCCGCTGGCACAGGCGCGGCCGCCTGGAGCCGTCGCGGGGATCGAACCCGAGACCTGACAGCGGCCGGCGCGCGCCGCGAGGGAGAGGCGGCGGCCGCGGGTCCTGGCCGGCCACGCCCTTCCGCCCCGCCCTCCCGGCCCCGGCCCGGCGGATTGGCGAGCGGTGTGTGTACACACACGGGCCCGGGCCAATGGCGCGGGGAGGGCGCCTGACATCACGCGGCGCGGCAGCCAATGGGCGCTCCCGGCCGGCAGACGCCGCCAAGCTTGTGCGGGGGAGCAGGACCGGGTAGCGCTCGGCGCGGGGGGGGTGGCGAGGCCGGGCCGGGGGCGCTGCGGGCGCTGCTGCCGCCACGCACCGGGGCCGCCGGGGGTCCCGACTCCGGGGCCTCCTCGCCAGCGGCGAGTGCGCGGCGCCGGCCCGGCCGAGAGGCGTCGTCGGCGCGACTGGATCGCTCCTTGCCGCGGCGGCTGCCAAGGGACCGTCGCCGTCTCGTCGCCTCAGCGTCGCTGTCTGGGCCCAGCCCGCGCTGCCGCCCGCCTTACCTTTCGTCCCTGGCCGGGCCTGCGGGTGAGCGGGGGGCGGGTGTGGGGGGCTGTGTGGGGGAAGGGCAGCCCCTTTCTTCAGCCATCAGCGGCCGCCGCCCCCCCGTGCCCCGGGCAGCGCGGTCCCGCCGGCCCTGCCGCCCCCTGCCCGGTGCCGCCGGGCAGCGCGGGCTCGCCCCACCTCGTTTCCCCCGGTGCCTCACGCCGGGCGGACCCGGGAGGCCGGGAGCCGGTGCCCGACACCTGCGGGCGGGCCCGGGCGGCGGTGACAGCCGGGGCGCCTCCTCCATTGTGGGGAGCGCTGCGCGGCGGGGCCGGGCCGCGCCGGGCTCTGCGGGCTGCGGGGCCAGCGGCGGCCCGGGCCCGGCCCCGCCGCGGGAAGGCACCGGCCGAGCGCCCGGCCCCGCTCGGTGGTGCCTGAACTTCGTGTCGGGGCGGGTCTCACCCGCCGCTCTGATCGGGAGAGGGTCAGTCCGGCACAACAACAACAACAAAACTTCCCTGCCTGCCTCTTCCTGGGAGTTACAGGCCTGCCCGGGCTTCCAGCTGTAAAGGGCTCGGCGGCAGAGGTGAACCCAGTGTAAACAGCGTCTGCTGGAGCTGGGAATACAAACAATAGGAGGAAAATACGGAATAAGCAAACTTCCTTGAAATGTGGAAGAAAACCGCAAATGAGAGCGTGCTCCCTCATTGAGTAAGGGGGGATGCCGAGCTCTGTATCACAGCTTATGCTGTTCTCCTCTGGGGAAAGGACTTTGGGTTTCGTTTTCTCTGTAAATTCTTGATTTGACAGAGAAAATGAATAGTTTTAATTGATATTATATAGTACACTGGATTAACATTTTTTACAAATAATTTTTGGTCAGTTTTCATAATTCTGAAAGCAATTCAGTTATTTTTTGACTCTTCATTAATATGGCTCACAGTGACTTTTTTTCCAACTACTATCACTGATGTAGCTTAATTATGTTGAGAAAAGATAGTAAAATGTTGGAGGTTGTGTGGTGCTGTAACAAATTGCAACTTGCTACAATCTTTGATTCAGAAATAACGTTATGCTGGTAAAAATGGATGCTGTTAAAAAAGAAATTAATACATTTTTCTCTATTCCTTTACCCTTCCCAAATTAACTTCACTTTTGGTTATATTATATCCTGTCATACACAAAACCAGATCTGTATAAGTGTGGCAAAGACTGAGAGGAGCAGTGTTACAGGGCAAATGCAGAACTGTGTTTCACAGCCATATTTGTGCCAATGCTGTGTATACTCACCGGTGTTTTTTACGCAGTGAAGTATTGAATTTCAGGAGCTTCTGTTCAAACTAACATGTAGCGTGTTAAATATAGCACTTTGAAAAAAACAGAGAGGACCCAGGAGAAGTTTGTGTTATAGAAAAGAAAAGACTTGGCAGGAGAGGTGGAAGAAAAGAAAGTCAAGTTTTCTTTAGAAAAGTTTCTTACTGTGAAGCAAGTCTGGTGCTTCTAGAAGAGGACAGAGTAACAGGTCAAATGATTTAGTTCTCTACTAAGGAAAAAAGAAAATTATTAAATATTAATAAGATTGTCTCATGGGTGAATTTAAGAGTGATGTTATATTACTGTCAAATTATTTGGCTTTCTTTTAACCACTTCCTCTTTGAAAAAAAAAGTCACTACTGCAGCATAGCAAAAAGAAACCATTTGACTCGTACTATCTTAATAGAATTAATTTTACAGAAGACACACTGGTAAGAGGAATGCTCTTAATTGCTGCAGAGGGTTCTGAGTGGTGGCCTCTCCTTTCCAGGTGGGGAGGTACAGTTTTAGAACAGCGTCTTGGCAGCAGCTCTCCATGGTGTAAGGCACAGGCCAAGCAACCCAGCTGGGCAGAGCAGTGCTGCTCTGCAGGGGATGTCAGTAGTACAAGAGAATTCCTTATCTCTGCCTGCCGTGGCTGTGTGGGACAGCCCTGCAGAGACCCCGGGTGCATCTGGACACACTTCCTGAGCAGCTGGGAGCACCCTCCCAGTGAAGATCTTTCACTAGCTTTGGCTAAAATTGGTAAAGGTTTAGTGAAGAAACAGGGACCAAAATTTCAGCATTACATCCTCTTCAAGGGTGTATGATGTTAGTTTAGATGCGCAGACCCTGTCACTGTGCCTTTGAAAGCTGAATGGGAATCTCTAAATGCAATAGAGTAGTGACTTGCATGGTATGGAGGAGAAGCTGCTGCAGCCCATCCTATGCAGAGAGAAATATTTAAATTTCTGTATCCTAATGTGGAGCAGAATGAGTTCTAGCTATAGCCAGTCTAATTCAGTTCTTGGAATTGCATTTCTTCTGGTGTGCTACCTTAACATAATGTTCTTAGGGCTGTCTCTAATAAGTGATAATTTCTTAAATTGTTTGCTTTTTCATTTTTTGAGTGGAATGCTATAAGACTTTCTCCACTACCTTTCCAATTACATTCACTGTACGTGACTCTTAATGAACCAACAGTGAATCTTAAAATAGGGACAATCAGCTGTCTGTTCTACTGCAAGGAAATACACATATGGATTTTTTTGTACATAAAGCCAAGAAACCACTGGAATCAGATGGGTTTGTCACAAAACTTTAGGTGTTAGGTGAAAAACAATCCCAGTGTCTTGGTGTGGTAATAGAGCACATATCATGGTGGAGCTGAGGGCACAAATGCCTGTGGTGGGATCTGAGAAACCAAGGATATGCAAGGAAATGTTGTAAAAGCTGCAGGTGTGGTAGGGAGTGAGAGTTTTGTAACAACCTTCTGGATTCACTCTTCATGTATATTTTGTAACATCCAGCATTAGAATGAAATTGATTCTTTTCCCCCCATTATTTGATTTGTAGACTATGACTCTTCTGCAAGGATGTGAGGCAGTAGCAAGTGATCTTACTTTCATAGTTTCATTAAATTAATGCCTTTGCTCCTTGGTCTGATGTCCTGTGTGCAGTGATAGTTTCCAATAAAGGGCTTTACAGACTGCTCAAATTTACTTTTATGGTTTTCAATATCTATAGCATAAAAATCAAGCAAGTCAAACTGCAGGCCTACAAATAGTTCAGTTTGCAAGACCATTACAATGGAACTGTAACAAAAGCACAGCTTTGTAGAATATCATACTCCTGCTGAAATACAGAACAGTAATTAAATGAAAAAAAAAGATGTTTGAAAATAATTTAAGGTCCAGCTATTCACTTAGTACTGTTGAAGAAACTTTTTGCCTTTCAGAACATGGTTTGCAAAATCCACAGTCTACTGTGAAGCCATTTTTGAGGATATTTGTCTTTACTGAAACCTGAAGTGAATTTTAGATTTTTGTAGCACTGACTTGGTGAAAAATAATGCTTTAGCCAGCTCACATCCAGTACTGGCTGTCACTATGGAGCCTGGAACCAAGCTGGGAAAAGATGAATGTTTGGTTTTGTTAGTGTGCTTGGTTGTGAACTGCAGCAATTCAGGTGTTGGCACAGTTTCATTCTTTCTGGCTTGATAATGTTTAAAAGAGAAGACAACCTGATTTTTAGTGATTTCCCAAATCATTTAAGCATGAATTCTAGAAGGGGTTTCTTTAGAGGTATCTTTGAAGGCATTATCCAGAACTGCCACAGCACTGGGATCTTCCTGGTTTACAGTCTGTAGGATATTTGACTGACATGAACAGCCAGGTTTTAACATGACCTGTAGAAATCATCCACTTTATAAAGATGATGTTGTTTTGGCTGGTTTTGTGTTATTTCAGTCAGTGGATGTGCCCTGGCCAGCAGGTTTTACACAAGCAGTGGTCAGAGGAAGCAGTGATGGTAGCTGAGACTGTGCTTGCTAACAGTGAATGGAGTGCCCGTGTCCAATCCATGGAATCTTTGTTAACATCTATAGACCAAAATCCATTTGTGACTGTAATTCTGGTCTTGCAGCTCAATTTATTTTTTTCCTGTGGAGTGTAGAGTATGCTCCTCTGTTTGGCAAGGCAGGTTTCTCCTGTTCCATCAGGCTTCTGCTGCTGCCAGATTGGTGTTGGTTTGGGTGGGAATAGCAAATGATTCACTTGTGGCTTACAGCCTCTTTAGTACTTATGTTCAATGGAGTCCCTCTCTGACCTCTGTTGGGGTGTATGGGAAGGTTAACTTGATAGAAATTCATAATCTATCTACCCATGGGGGGTGTACACAAATATATTCTGTGTGAATAAGGGACCATTTTAATTTACTCTTTTCTTATTGCAAATTTCAGGGTGGGGAAAAAAGAAAAATAAGGTCAGAAAGAAATTAGCAGGTTGCAACAGGTACCCACTGTCTTTAAGGCTGTGAACTTTTAGTTGTATAGAGGAATTCTTCGACTTGGTAGCAGCTATTATAATGCTATTTGTGGGAATTAAAGCAAATATATCAGTAGCTGCTCATTAAGGCTTGTGAATGCCAATGCATTGACATACTAAAAGTCACTTGTGAACTGTAATGCTCATCCAAGAATATATGGTGGTAACATGACTAGTAATTATGGATGAGATTAGAAACTGCAAGTGAAAGTGAGCTTATGTCCTCAGAGTGAAATAAGAAACCTGGGTGTGCATGGGCTCTCCATTTCTTGGAAGGAAGGAGTTAGGTAACTTCCTTTTGTTATAAACTTGACCTTGAGATTTGAGGAATGCGAGAAATATATTTCTGTTCTCTTAAAGGTGCAATCAGGTTATTGTAAACTTCAGTTTATTTAAAATTCAACTTACAACTGCAAATACATTCAAACTTTTTTTAGATCAATAACTTCATACATACAACTGATACGATTTCAAGCTGTGTATTGATTTGGTATAACAGCAGACTTCTGCTCTCTGTCAAAAGCAAATTATTAATCCTGTTTCTTGCTGTATAAGAAATTGAGGAAGCTGTGATCTGGAGACAAAAATATCCCCCTTCCTGATGGATTTTTGAATCATGCACACACCCCAGTGAATTCTTCAAAAGCAGACAGTAGTCTTCCTATGAACAAGCCATATCCAACCTTTTGTCACATTTCAATCCAT